GTGTTCTTTTGCCGGGCTCGCTACTTCACCGATCTCGCAAAGTTCCGGGAGGCGCAACGGGCGGTCGACAATTTCAACATAAAAAGGAAGCTAGATGAGGACGAGAGCAAGGCATTATGGGACCGGAGCTATCCAACAAGCAAGCCGATGTTTCCACAATTGCACACATCATTCTTCAGAAGACGTAAAAAGCGAAACGAGATCCCCGAAAGGAACTCCCATGGTAATCACAAGAACATAAGCGGCGAACAGGGGATACCACTTAATGACATCCAGATGACGAACGCACAACAAGAGCTGATTGAAGAAGAGGTCGATGCTAAGGTCGGGCTGATGAGAACAAAAGCGACCTTTTGGTGGAAGAATAAAAACATAGGTAATCATCCGTTGAATCATGTCATGGAGGAACTTTACCTAACCAATGGTCTCTTCAGGTGTTTTATTACTAGACCCGACCCTGACGGGAGGGTTTCCGCTTTGGAGAGAACAAGAAAACTGGCATGAAAAGCCGATACCGGGAGAGGTCGGTCCAAGAACTCCTGATCCTGAATTCAGCTTCGCCGAGCGTTTCATCTACTGGGCAGAAAACCCGGCATCATTTCTTCGAAAAGCATCCCTGAGCAATGACCCGCGACAGCTACCGATGATGATCTTGCTTCGTACCATCTGCGCCGACTGGATTACAATGAGCCAGTACATCAAAACCCGGTTATCCCAAGTCGATTGGGAGTTGATACACCCCAGAGAATTTCTGGGCCACCACAGGTTTTACACAATCTTGAACAAACTGCACACATGGCGACGCCTTGTCCCTGTGTATAGGGAGATGTTGTACACAACAACATTGCACATGGAATTCTTTCTAAATAGTGAGGGCAAACCGAGCGATAATGTGGAAGATGAACCTTTCATGGAGTATCTGAATGAGTTCATGCTCATTCTCAGACAAATGGACGAGTATGAACAACGCATCGACCGCCTTACTGCAGTCACCACCTCCACTATCAACATGGTCGATTCACATCGCATCAAGCTTCTGACGGGCCTCGCTACCATCTTCTTGCCTTTGAGTCTCATAGGAACGTTGTTCTCTATGTCGGAGAATGTTGATAAGCTGGGGGTGACGTTTGGGTACTGGGCTGCGGCGTCTGTTTCTGTCATGTGCTTCCTGCTTGTGGTCTATCGATTGTCGGAAAGCTGGCTGGCTTAAGCATTAGAATATATATCGCTTATGCCTAAACTGGTGGTATAATGGTATGCAACTAGACGCGAAGATATTGCATGTGTATATTCACACAATTTGTCATGGGCATTGAGAAGCCTTTTAATGAACTTAGCTCTAGCCCTCATAAATATCCTTAATTTTTAGTGTTTATATGACGTTTCAAACCAATACCACATTACTGAGAATGGAGGTCGCTTTGGGCAAATCTAGTCTGCACACTGGCCGCATGCTGGCGCTTGCGCTGTCAGACATGGTTGTCGGCGATTTCCCAAATTGGGTTCCGACAAAAGCCCTGCTCAAAGAGAAATTATGAGGGTAAGAAGGATGATAATGTTGATCATGGGATATCCTTTTTTGCCGTCGCTCCCTCGTCGTTTGCATCGCGTTCGTCCTGCTTAGCGCCTTTACATTTGTGCGCCCTCAACCTCAACTCAGCACCTGACTGTGTTGTTGACCATGACCATAGACACATTTAGGAGACCGGAAAAGATTGAACCTAGAAATAGAGTGGCTTGGTAAGCACCAGGGTTTAAAATCTTAGGTTTGCCCCCCCCCATTTCCCCAGATAGAGCTTTTCCAAGCCGCCCAGGAGTGGTCACTGCCTGTCACATCCTCAACCAATATCGCGTTGGTGCAAGTAGCATGGTCATCTAGAAACACACCGCCTCTAGTCGCATTGGATTTGTGCTAATCCTCATCAGAACAATCCTTATATAAAAATCGTGCCGTCGACATTACCTGCTTCGTGCTTGGTCGTTGCCAAAAGTCGTGATTTCTGACTGCTGCTTCTGATAAAAACCAAAATATATTTCTCTGGACTTTTGTTATTGTGTAATATAGGCCACATACTGCTGGCTTCATCTACGTGGGGAGAGAGGGTGTTTGCTGCCGATGGGTCTCTTCGAATCGTGACTGCGCTAGGCAGCTACACAAGCTCGTGATTTGCTCCGCCATTTCGAGTCATGGATGGATGCCTGGACGGATGGCTCAAATAGTGTCTTATCTGATATTTAGTGAGAAAACTTGATGGAACCTTGAGGGAAATAGCCAACCTAAACTCCCACTTAATGATACGCAGCTACACACTCATTAGTTCTGATAAGGGCTATCAATGCAGCCTAAAGGAGAAGAAGCCTCCGAACTGGGGGCTGATACCGAACGCAATCGAGGATTGACGAACAAGAACGCAATTTAGACATATTTGTCTACCATATTGAGACATCTAACCATCGAACGATATGCAACGTGCCCCTCGCGGTCTCCAGTGAACATCTTATTCGCAGAAACCGTGGCGACGGGTGGTAAACCTGCCTGTCTTATCTCAAAATTTCAATATTTCGCAGATATGCCTTCATTTCGTCCCTTAAGCGAAATTCAATAGTGTCGGACAAGCATGTAGTGCACCCTGGTTATCATCAACCCTTGATGGTCTGCTAATGAAAGCCAGCGAACAAAGAGCCAACAAATACTCTCGGGTCGGAAAACCCAGGACCGAGGGCTCTGAAGTCGAAAAATAAATTGACAGTCAAGTGAATTTTCTCCATAAACAGAGATTCTTGCATGCAGCGTACACAGTTTAACCAAGGGACCTCTACCAAATGTGTTTCTCTCCCAACGCAAGAAGGAAAATGAAAGGATCAGCACAAAGGAATGAACAAAAGTCCCATGCAGACTGCACTCTCGAATACCCGTTTCTGAAGAATACAGGATTTGGAGTATCGAAGAGCTTGTGCGGGGGAGCCACGGTCGAAATGATTGCAAGGTTAAATCAACCAGTAATTGTCAAGAGCTGGTCATGGGGGTTGGCACAAATGCCCTTAAGAGTAACAGCCGAGTATTGTACGCACCAAAACGGCATTGACCGATCAATATTCATTCCAAACCACATGGTCTGTGATGTAACACCACTTTAAGCTAATAGGCCGGTTAAGCTTATAGCATCCTTCTCCTCGAGAGTCCAACTATCCTGAAGAGTGCGTAGGAAGACAGGCACGACTTCGAGATTCAGAGTAAGTTTTTCGAGTGTAATATTGGGTGAGCAAGAATCGGATCTTACCTACCTAACACCTAAGAGAAAGAGAATAAAGTTCAACAGCAATGGAAGCTGCCAGAGCCCGACAACTCAACACAATGAATACGAAGAGTCGGATCTTACAATTCTACGTAGGATTTCAACGGCGGACAAGGGGGTGCTCGCAGCCTCCCTGCTGATTTGAGGTTGTATTGCTTGGTTCTAGACTACAGCACAAGGGTTTCAAAACATTCGCTTAGAATATTGTTGAGGATAGCGAGGAACCAATGCGGCCATCCTCATACGGTGAGCCCCATGGTGGAAGCTGGGATACTTCGAATTCCCAATATTGAACATTTGGCAGGGTAGTTGGTTCCTCACATGATGAAGGGTTCATGAAAGGTATAAAAAGGCAAGATATTTCTCTGTTATTCTTCAGTAAACAAGAAACTCAACTTAGTATCCAACAATCGATATCCACCACCTACTCTTGCAAAATGAAGCTCGCCCTCACCATTCTTATCGCCCTCACCTGCCAGGTGTGACACACAATTCTCAACATGAGATTGGCACATGCTAATATTGTACTAGACTCTGGCTTCTCCTGCTGAGGTCAATAAGTCCCTTCGAGACGATGGCCTCTACAGCGGGGAGGAGGAAGTCCTTAACATAGACGAAATCGACTCCATCAGCATCATGGATTTCGTCGGCCCTATCACCCCCGGCGGACCCAACGTCACTCTGAGCGGCACCGCCAAAGAAATTTATGATCAGATCCTCGAGCTGAACCCATCCTACAGTGTGTGGGACTTTGACGAGTATGCGGACGATTTGCAAGCTCGGGGACTTACCCCCGAAGATATTGATGTCAACAACCCTTCTCTCAAGATACGCTCCGCCGTCCTGGCCGAACTTCAAGGACAAAGCAACGGCTTGGTGACTCGAGATAGCGTAATAAGCTCCGTCAATAACCAGCCCTTGTGAAAGTTGAATAGCTAACTAGTCGCAGTTTAACTGTAACGCCGGCTCCTATGTTGGAAACGTATGGAGTCAATGCGCCGAAGGCTTTGGTTACCTCTGGAATCTTGGAAGCGCTTGGTGTGGCGCCAAGGCCAAGAGCTGCGCGCGCGTCAGCTGCTCTCACAACTGTGGCATGTATCTCTGCAGCAAGGTCAGTCCTTTCCGCCTCTTCTCTGCTGGAGTCCATGAACAGAAGATGCTGACGAAATAATTCGAAATCTCAGTTGTCGAAGGAAAAGAAGGTCCACTGTGGAAATATTGCCAATGACATGGTCAAGATTGCTTATCAATGCGGTTCAGATGTGACTGTGTGGGCGTATCAAGCCAGAGGCCAGATGCAGTTCACTTGCCACAACACCAAGCTGTCGAGCCCGTCGTGCTGAGCTATCTTGGGTTGTCACTCCTCAGATGCTTGCTTGAGGTGTCGCCATTAGCTCGACCGGGATACTCGTCTTGTTTTACGCCTTATATCCCATCGGTCAAAGCCTTTGTTATGAATATACTTGATGCATTTGTACAGGGACTGGTTCTAGTCCCGCTGATAGTGTAGAACCTTATATAACAAATCCTTCATTTTCGATATCTAGTTTTCGTTCCTTGGCTCTTGTGATGGGATACCGACTTAGGAAGATTGATAGAGTTGGGAGAGGTTGTTCAAAATGCCCACACCAGCAGTTTATTTCATCCAACGTAGATGGTCTGTGAGGTCTTCTTGGTATGTACTTAATAATACTTTCAATCTCGCTAATAAGTAGCAGGGAATACACCGAGCCGCCCACCGTCTGTTACGAGGACATTCCCGTTTACATAAGAACCCGCTCGGCTAGCGAGATACAACACAGTCCCTGCAATATCTTGAGCATCTCCAGGGCGCTCGGCTGGGACCACACTCTTGGGCCAACCGGTCTTCTCACGCTCCTCAAGTGTCTTGGCCGTCAGTTCGCTCGGATAAACTTTCAATAGATGTCAGTGACACATTCTCATCTCTTGCTGAATACTTGACAAGAATTTCATATAGGTTCAGATCATTGAAGAAAGGACTTACAGCCAGGTGCGATGATGTTAGCCCGGATATCGTATGGAACCAGTGTGGTGGCCAATTGCTTGAAGATGTGGGTAACGGCGGCTTTGGAGGCACTGTATGCGTAACCCAGACCCGGTCTGCGGTTGAACGCGCCGATGCTGCTTGTGACAATGACCTGGCTTTTCTGTGATACACTTCCTTGCTTGTTGCCCTGGTCAAGCAGTTGCAGGAAGGCGGCCACGGTGTTAAAGGCGCCAGTAGCATTGACAGCAAAAGTGTTAGTAAAATCGTCTGCCCCCCAGTTCCACAGATGCTTCTGTAACTCTTCAATACTGGCCTCAGGCTTCAGCCCTGCCAGTGATGGGCCTCCGATGCCGGCATTAGCAAACACGATGTTGATATAACCGTGGACAGACTGGATCTGTTTGGCGGCCCTCTCGAGATCTGCCTTGTTCGTCACATCGCCTTGAATAGCGTGAATGTTGCCGTGTTTCTACATCAATTAGACACATACAAAAGAAAATAGGAACAGGTGGTGTGATGGGGAGGGGTCATTATGAATGCGCACAGCTGTTTTGACGGCCTGATCCAGAGACTCTTGTCGACGGCCGAATATGTATACAATCGCTCCATTTGCCTCCAGCGCCTGGGCGATCAGGAGGCCAATCCCTGGAGCGAGATTAATTAATAAATCATCATTCGAATGCAAACCCAAGATCCTACTTCTCGTAGGTTGAGGCTTCACTTACCAGTAGCACCACCAGTAACAAAGGCGATCAAGCCTTTGACATCAAAGAGGTCACCAGACTGAATTGATGCAGACATTTTGACAACGTGAAGGTCTTTCAAGAGGCTAAACTCTTCTTGAGGAAAATCTTAAAATACCTCAAATTGAGGGAGACCGAAGCAATTTATCATTCTTCTGATTATCATCAACCCCGTTCTAATTGAGATGGCGACATTTCGGTGGTGATGGCGGGATCAGCTTCGTCACTCGTGTCGGGACCACCGCGACAGACATTCAACCAACCCCCACCTGCATGAATATCTGCTAGTATTTCCTTCAGAATAGGAGGTGATTTGTTCTATCTAAGTGCGGATTTCAATTTCGTGAAGCTGATTCATAATACCAGACGCTGTTGCTCAAATACCAAACATCTGTGGGAAGGTCTGTTGATATACCATCGAACTAATTGCTCTACAGCTTAGAAACAGGTCCCTTTATATCCTGAACACTATCTTCCACCAACTCTACAACAGCCTCGGCGTAACCGTATGAAGTCTGGTAGCCGTAGCCACCGTGGCCGTAGTTGTGTACAATGCTAGTCTTGTCATCCAGCTTCTCCTTCTCGATGCGAACACCGCCCTTGCGAGCTGGTCGCAGGCCAACCGCGTGTCGAATCACACTGAGACCGGTAATTCCCTTCCCGCCTGCAATTTCAGGCCGGATCTTGACGATCCGCGACATGATACGTGAGGCTACGTTGGGGTCGGGGTTGGTATCCCAGTTCCCGATGTCATAAGTCCCGCCAAGGATGGTACCTCCACCGGCTGCTCGCTGCATGAGATACAGCTCCTCGCCAGGCCCGTCAGCAGAGCCGGAGCAGATGATCATAGGAGTCGACTCGTTGCGGACGAGCGCAACCTGGCCGCGGATGGGATACATGGTCTTGTCCTCTACTCCGCCCAGCTTGAAAGAGCCGAGCCCGGTTGTGTTGATGATAATTGAAGCCGGCTTCCCAGTGTGGCTAAGGTTCTTTGCCTCGCTGATATCGGCAACGATTCCTCGCTTGAGCTGTACGCCGTTGCGCAGTAGTTGGCCTGCCAGCCACTGCAGGTACATCGTTGTGTTGATGCACACGCCGGTAAACTCACATCCGCCATCATATCCATCAGGCACTTGGCCCTTAGGGAGCTCACGGAAGTCGTCAAAAATGTTCTTGTACCAAGGGGTGGGACTGAATGCGTGGACAGGGAAGCCAGCGGGGTTCTTCAAATCATGCTCTCGGTGGAGGATATGGCATTCTATGGCAGTTATTGTTAGCAAACCACAGACTAGAGCACAGCCGATCTCTGGGAGGAAGACATACTCTGGAAGTGAATTCCCGCTTCGGGAACCTCCTCAACAAGCCGTTTCAGTTCCTTCCAGGTTTGAGACTCCCAACGTTTTTCTTTCTCCTCCGCCATGCTGCGAAATTGTTAGCCTTGCTGTAAAACAGTCAACTTGGTTAGAAAAACATACGGGACAATGTTCGCTCCAGCGAATGGGCTGGCATATTCTCCATCATAATCACCGGGCATGTGCTTGGCGACGACGGTGATCTTGTATCCTTTCTTCTTGGAGAGGAGAAGCGCCGATGTCAATCCAGAGACACCGGCTCCGACGACGACGACGACAATGGTTTCGGCCATGAGGGATAGATGCGCGGGGTTGAAAAGCTACCGATTCGAGAAAGGCGAGATGGGATTGGAAAGCACTACACACCCTCGATATCAGACAGTGCCAATCGTTCTGAAATACTCTGGGCTGTCTTGATGGAGAATCAGGGTCGGGAAAACCTTCCGCTCAGGCGGAGATGCACCAGCGTTACTAAATAAGCCCCGCTCGATAGAGCTCCGAATACGCTCGACCAGGCCAAATCTCGCATAAAATTAGTGGTCCCATATCTAAAGTGGTGGAATCTTGCATGAGAGATCTTGTCTCATCGAATACGGGGTGGCCACCCGAAGCTGTTACCCGGCGTGCCATTCCTTATCCAATCCGCTCGACTCACTCCAGCATTCTCGGAGGTTCAACCTGAGCCAAATCCATCAGTTCACATATTTTTTTATCACTATATAGCTAAGGTAGAAAGTCGACCCGCCAGTTCGCTGTCATAGCCGCCCTCTAATGGCCTGACACTTCTTGTTTCCTCGATCCAAAGAGGGTTTGTTCGGCGTTGCGATATTGCTTATTTTCACGACTGCCCCTAAACTGCAGGTCATATTTCCTCCTACACTGATCATGTATCATAAGCCAAGGTAGAAAACCACCCCGTCGAATCCCAGCCATCCAGCGACTCCGCAATCGTCTCCAAGCGATGTGAGGGCGAATACAGATCCTCCGCTTCGGCACCTTCCAACCAATCCGGCAGAGTAATGGACCCAGTGTCAAAGCCTTGCAAGTCAGACTGAGGCGAGGCAATCTCCGTCTGGTCAGCCGCCAAAGTCGACTCCGTCTCCCCTTCTTCCTGAGTGTCATGAGACAAGTCCTGGCAATCCCCAAGCATTCGGGTCAATGTATTCAGATCCATGAGCCTAGATTTGGCAGGGAGATTTCCTTTTGTTGCCATGATTTGAAGCCCTTCGGAAATGGCAGGTAACGACGGGCCATCATGCTTGAGCAGAGAAGAAAAACATGCCTCAGAAATGGCGATAAACGTACCAGCGGAGAAAGCCGCCTCCAACTCAAAGGCCAGAAACGATTCTATTTATTATTTTGGTCAGATACAGTGACGAACGGTGCCGATTTCGCAGGCTCACCTATTAAATGTTGCTGTTTTAATGCGTGAAGAATGGCACTAATTCGCTTCGCCGACTCGATTCCGATCTTCAGGATGTGGCGAATGGGCTCTTTGGAAAATAAGACGGCAACTCTATCCTCCGAGCTCTTACACCGCTTTTCCAGAAACAAGTATAAAAAGGGTCTCGTAGCAACAACAATGCACTGCAGGTACATGTCAGTAGCCAGAAACGTTGAATAAAACGGGGTAAAAATACATGGTGGTAGAGTATGTTCAGATGGGCAGCAATAGGAGATATTCCCCCAACAGAACCCGGAGCAGGTAAGGCGAAATGTGTACGGAGCTCCTCAGACACGCTCGCCACGTTGCGAAGCGCGTCTTGGATGCTTCCGATGAAGTTGAGCTGGCGCGTGCTCCCACTTCGGTACACGGCTTCGGATCAGGTCAGCCAAGATATATTCATGTCGAATTTGACCAGCATACTTACTGTTCACAACATGCGCGAGTGCGCGGGATAATCCAACCTGTATATTCAGTGAGGCATTGCGTTGGTTTGACTCGGGAAATACAGGCAATGGGGTAGTTATGTCCTCGTCTCGGACTTGAATCGGGAGCCCTATCAAGCACGATATCTGACGATCTATCACTACAATTGTCCACCATGCCTTCCGGCATCGTTGGATCAGCTCCTGATCAACTTGATCGGGTTGCATGGGAGTGTGCATTCCCGAACCGATGGCCATTCTTACGGCTTGGCCAATCTAGATGCGGTCAGCATTCGGGTTATGGAATTGAATGCCAAGTTACGACAAAGGAGAAGGTGCTACCTTATCATATGCCAAGACTCTCGCGTCAAGAGCTTGATAGTAGAGTGCCATGCAACAAAGAATCTCAGTTGCAGAAATGAAGTTTCCAAGTAAGTAACTAGTTTCCGGGAGCAGCTTCACAGCACGAACGAAGAGCTCTGATCCCGGCGGCTTCCCCTCCTGAACCTCGGAGACAACAAAAGCTTTGCCGAATGCGAGGAGAATGAGAAAGTGAATGTACCAAAGGTCCATTTTGAACATATTTTCGACGGGATCAGAGTAAAATTGATACAGCTGGGGCATAAATGAACTCTCATCGAACAGATGATAGATCTGCCCTGCATGGAATTTCACGGCGTTGAGAAGGAATATGGCATGATCGAGAGAGGGCAACGTATCAGTCTCCGATTCAACAGAGGCCCTTCTCCCATCCCATCCAAGGTCCGATGCTTCAGCCGGGATGTAAGTGCCATATGGAAAGGGATCATTTGAGCAGCGGGCATGCAACAGTCGCAGTACCCGCTGTGTATAAGAGTAGTTTGAGGAATGGCCAAGGTGGTCTGGATCGAAGTCATATTAGCATATGCATTTCCATGCACACCTCACAGCCCTATTGACTTACGAAAATCACCTCCCGGTCCTGCCACATGGGTCAAAAACTCGGGAGAATACACCGGGTTAGTTATCTCGCTATTCTCAACCTGCACATGAGAAGTGGGTGTTGGCTCTTGAAGACAGGCTTGACAATGATAAGTTCAGGTTTCAAAGTAAGCGAGAGAAAGTTAAAAGCATGCTTACCTGAAGGGTTATCTTGTTTCGCCTCCAGCAATGCCAACTTTGTCTGCAATTCAGAGAGGTACCTGAGATCACAGCCATGCATGGTCAGTCACCCTTTTTGTCGTCACCTAACGTCACATGGAAGTAAACCTGGGATTACCTTTTAGAGACAAACACTTTTGGCTCCTCCAATTCGTATTCGCAGTTGAACCTACGGCGTCTACACGCATCGCAGGGGACCTTTCCGCTGCATTTGATCTTATGCCGGCGACACCGGATGCAACTTCAACAGAATCAGCTGAGCCCAGAGAGAGAATATCACGGGAATGACCCTACGCATTTGAGCTCCGTCTCCTCGTTGTCTGTTCTTCTTCTGGGGTCATGATGTATGGGCGTCTATACACGCGGCATCATTGATCTACGACGCAGAGGAGAGACGTTGTCCAGCACAGGTTCAGGTCTCAAGGATCGCGTGGAGTATCTCCACACACCCCATATTCCGTTCGAGCTCGCCGGCTATCATGTCATTGCACGAGGTCGGTGCTGTAGTGTTATCGTTTAGTTGGATCCACCAAATTCTTGAAGTGTGCCCAGAGCCAATGGTACGGTGGGCCACTAGACAAACCTCAAATAGAGGCACTTGCCCTGAGAGATAAGACGAAAGCATGATTCGTGGCAGCAAACAAGTCTCATAACCCCTCTGCCGATATCGGATATCATACCCGAGCATCCCAGCAGGAGAAGCAAACTCGAGAATTCGTCAACCATCTCGTGTTAGGATGACTCAATATTCCCGTTTGAACTTCGCTTGTTCAGCAAAGAAAACAATTTTTAAATTCTTGATGTCACTTGATCCCCAGACTTGACAAAACTTCTAGGATAGATACAAACAGACCTGCAGGATCGGTGTTCTCCTTGATACATCTCGGCTTGTGGAGCCGACCTACCCTGTATCTCAACAAGCCCCTTTCCCACATTCTGGGGAATGATAGCCGAGACATTGAACAACAATACTAAGAATAATATTCTTGGGAAAGATGGTCCCTGACGTCTGAGTGGAGGATATACTCGTTCATTTTGATGCTAAGTGAAGTGCTTTCGTAAAAGAAGGGAGTGTTCCAGCCGGAACATATGTGAGATGACTGACTTCATTGGGGGCTGTGATTCACATTACTCCTGGACGGTTATAACCTAAATCGGGATTTGTGGTAAATTATTGAACGAATGACAAATATTTCTCAGGATACATTCTTCTATGAAGATTTAAGTATGCTAGTATCATTCAAATACCAGGTCAAACTCTCCAACTCGCCTGTTGGATATTTCTCTGCACAAGTCCATCCATTCCCAAACCAACCAAAGGGATTTCCATCAAAGGACTCTGTTTCAAAGTCCTCCCATCTGACCGAAGCCAACGCTCGAAGACACTGAAGACTGCTTCCCGGCCACAAAGCTGTGACACGGCCATTCATCTGCCCTTCTCGCGACGCGCTAGGTTCGGCTGTCTTATACCACGAGCTGCATTCCTCCGCAAAAACGGTGCGTTTGAAGAATTCATCGCAGTAGTTCGTGAATGACTGGACTGCTTGTTTCTTCGGCTCCACCCGGCCGATATTATCGTAGGCCATGCGGGCGAGGATTTGTCCAATGTAGACCTGGGTTTTCTCAATAATGAGTAACAGGCTCCCGGCGCCAGGCATCGAGTTTGGGCCCATGGACTGGAAGAAGTTGGGGAAGCCATCAGTACAGACGCTGAGATAAGTTTCAGGACGACCCTCAAATCGCTTTCTGAGGTTGATGCCACCTTTTCCATAGATCGGGAAACTGCGGTTGGCTGGAGAAGTCTGGAATCCGGTGGCGCAGATGATCACATCGGTGTCATGTCTGACTCCGTCCGTGGTGATAACACCGTTGTCGTCAATCCGATCGATTCCACATGTGATAGTGTCGACTTTGGGTGACCCCAAAGCCTCCAAGTAGCCAGGGCCGGGTGACATGCGTTTGCAATATGGCGAATACTTAGGTTGTAGTATGTCGTAGATTTCCGGTTTCCCTTGCAGTCTTTTCTTCATGTTCTCTTCAACGCGCAACCGAGTTTCCACCTGCAGTTTCGAATCCTTGAAGATGACATTGAACTTGTTGTTGATATCGTATTCAATGTCCCGGCGATACTGCAGGTAAGCCTCGCGGTCGTTTTCCCACAACTTCTTTTCTTCTTCTGTATACTCAAAGTTTCCACCATTCTCTTCTATTCTTCTCCCCATGCTGTCTCCGCCGAAGAGACCCGCGATCCATGATCGACCGCGGACGTAGTGGTCCATCCGCTTGACTTGTGGAAGAATCGAAGGCACAATCTGAAGTCCACTGCTCCCAGCTCCAATCACAGCCACAGATTTATCCTATGATGATCAATCTTAGAGTGTATTCTGTAATGTCAAGTAGAAATGGGTGGTACCTTTAGGTCAATGCTGGGATCCCAATTTGCGCTGTGTAAAATGTCTCCCTTGAACGAATGAAGCCCAGGAATGCTTGGCCACTTCCATTCATTGAGAACACCCTCACCCGTCACAAGCACATCAGCTTGATCCTCGTAGGTGTCACCAGTGGCAAGGTCCTGAAGCTGCACGAACCACTTGCCGGCCGTCTCGCTCCATCGAGCGGCCGTGCACTTTTGACGGAACCGCATATACTTTCTGACACCATACTTCTGCGCGATGGTCTTCCAGTACTCGAGAATCTCAGACGCCGAAGCAAAAAAAGAGCTCCAGTTCGGCGAAGACTCGTATGAGAGCTGGTATACGTGCGCTGGGACATCTGAAATCGTGATGTTAGATGCTAAATATCAGAAGGTTATTCCCACTGGTAATTCGGTAACTTACCACAAGCACAGCCAGGATACCTTTTCATCGCTCATGTTAACTCGATATTTCTTGGCATTCGGTGAATCAGAAAGGGAAACTAATTACCTGTTTTCGAACCATGTACCACCAAGCTCCTCATTTTTCTCATAGATTACTAGGTCCAACTCGGGTACTCGCTTCTTAAATTCAATAGCGCCCGTGATTCCAGAGATTCCAGCGCCGATGTATATGACCTTGAGGGGTCTTGCTTGGTCCATACAGCGCTGTGATATCCACACATCGGGGCTTGTTTGGTTCAACGTAGCAGTTTGGGGCTCTGGAATTTGTTGCCCATTCTCATTGGGTGTCGTATCGTGGTGAAAGACGGCCTTGCCACTCGCCCTGGGCGACTGCGGCTCCGGGCTGTTACTGAGAAAGTGTGGCATATTGGCACAAGGCTGATTCTATTCGTTTGGGATGACTGGATGACACTGCAACATTAGAAGAAGGGCACGGAGAGCCAATATATTCATTGACTGCTGCCAGTGCATAGGCCAGAGAAGACCAGAACGTCTCCAAAATGAAACACCAATATCGACTATCGCATTACTTAGATTGGGTGCCTCCCCCCCGCATTTGGCGCTTTCTGTTCCCGAATACTACCTAGTGATGTTATCTGTCCCATCTCTATCTGACTCTCCTCGAATCAGTGTAAATCGCAACTCCTTACCGAGCACATCGGAAACAATATCCGACTTTTAAATGCCAGGAAGTGGGGGGTTGTCGTTCGTCGCGTGATAATCCCAACTCGCCTCCTAACCCAGATCAGAAACCGATTGTGGGGATTCGGTATCTGTATCCTGCTTGTTCAAAGTAAACTGATCCCGATACTCGCTCTAGTCCAACATGTGAGCCTAATTCTTGATCCTAGACAGGACTTCCCCCCAGGTACTCGGCTTTTTCCCCCGTTCTGTATGGTAAGCCCCATTACACTTCAGTCTAGCGTGCAGTTTTCTTGAGGAGTCTACGCCGTGAGTTTCCAGTCCTTCAGCATATGGTCTTCTTAGATAAGCTACACGCCTAGAAGCCGGAGATCGGGGGTGTGTGAGGGGGCTAGGACAAGCCTCCTTTATTAAGCCAGTATTTCCCCGCAATACCAAACCACCTCGATAGCATCTTCACGAAATTTAAACTGTTCTGTCATCCATTTCCCAGTCATCAGGATGTCATTTCCAGAGCCCATCCTCTATGATATTAAGCCTACGGCTTTAATACCAAACTCTCTCAATCCACTCCTTCTATATAAAGGCGTGTTCCTCAAGGATGGCAAAGTCGACGCTGTCCGTGCGCTTGACACTTTTAGAGGGAATGGGTGGGACGTTCAATGGGTGACAAGATATGGTCGCCAACAACGATCACACTACCATTCCCATACCCATGAAATGATGATTGTCCTCTCCGGGCCAGGGATCATTCGTTGGGGCTCAGCAGACCTTTCTGATGATCCAGAAGAGCACACTTACGGAGATGCCTACGAAAAGACCGGCGTGGAAGTGGAAGTGGAACCTGGCGATGTCTTTGTCATTCCAGCCGGTGTGGCTCACAAATCCTACAATCCACAGGCCGAGGGTGAAGCATTTGGGGTCTTGACAGGTTCTGCACGCGGGATCGAGTCGTTCAAGCCCAGGGAGAAAGTGGCAGAGCTCCCTTTGCACGGATTCATGATGATGGGTGCCTATCCCGTCGGCAACAGCTGGAACTGGGGCGAGGGAGGCGACGATATTGGCAACTATCACAGGATTTGGAACATTCCGAACCCCAAGTATGATCCTCTTGTTGGCGCAAATGGCGGCATTCATAAATATTGGAAGCAGCAAACATATGAGAGCAAGCTGTGATACTTCACCCGGATGTGGCCACCAGTAGAGTATGTCCGTATTCTACATCTCTAGGAGGACTGAGGCATGTTAGTCTCTGATGAACAATAAATGATTTTGAGCATGAGTACAGTTTAATGACAGTTAAAAGATCGATATCATGAACATGTATAGGCTTCTTGCTTAGGGCAATGTATCTAAGACTCTGTATATCTAACCCATCTGTTGAAGCAAACGCCATCCCCGGGGTATTCGAAACGAGGATGGATCAACCTGAAAGTCCTTTGTTAAATATACCTTAAACCCCAAAGAAGTCACTAGCCATGGAATCATTAATGAAACTATCCCAAAGGTCCTGGCTATATGGGAAAATAACATGATGGGGATCAGCAGCATCCATGTTGAGGTAATTCTCGTCCGCCACCGTCACGCAACGTATCAGGTTCCCAATTTCCGCCTCCAAGTCCACCGAACACTCCGAGCTGGCTTCTAGTTCCATTATAGCGCCGAGCAGCCTGACGCCTCGCCGGGCCAGAGAGCTTCTCTGCTCCTCGTGGCTGATGATTTCTTTCCCAAGCTGCAGATAGCGACGGACCTTGATCCAGTCGTGCATAAGGGTGTTCTCGGACTTGAACAGCAAGGCAAAGGCGAGAAAGATGCAGCAACTAATGACGTGCGTCAATGTAGTCCACATCCTACGTGCAATCCGTGATTGAAGAGTGTCTGGCCAATCGATAATTGCCGCGATACTACGCTCAGCAATAGACACGCATGAAAACTAGATAAGCGATAATTAGACGGACTGAGAGAACCTGATGGGGCTCAGATTAAGATACCTGAGAAAATGCATAGCGCCGGTCTCGGAAACCGGAGAGCTGGAAATGACGATGTACGCCGAGAACCTGGGATAATGGCGACCAATGTTAGAAAACCGCAAGAAGTTTTCATCCTCTTGAACAAGAAACCAACTCACTTTGTGGGCAGTGCATATAAGGATAAGGCCTGGCATCAAGCCAATGGGAAGTCCATCAGCAGTAGGAAAATCTTGTGACGTGTCAACCTCTCGCAAAGAAGGCGGAAGAGACACGTAGCTAGCCTTTAGTTCTTCATCAGCCCGTATCACCTCCTCGTATAATTTGGGGATACTCTCTGGGCAATTGCTCGGATGTCCAGCCTTGAACATGCGATCGTGGTGTTTCCAAATTAGAACCGAGACTGCACACGGGGAGTTAGCAGAGTTTCAGCAACGAGGTAAGTTTACTTTACAGTGATTGAGGTAGTTGGCCCAACTAGTCGAAACATAGGCCTCGTCCATATTCGGAGTGTCATTGCTCGCTAGCTGTTGCGTAGGTACAGGCTGGTTGGTCGGCATAGGTGTGCTGAATTGACCTGGGTGTATCTGACAAGTGTTCTGGAACGGTATTTGATACCAATCGTAGCGCACTAGAAACCACCAGATTCCTTTCTTCAGTTCCCGGTCAACGTTGGCTGTTTCGTTAATATTGGCCGTACTTCCTTCGGATATGGCACGATCTGGGCCTAGCCGGTGAAGGCCCAGGCACTGGGCGATTCGAATCGCCGTGGAGATGAGGATGCAAATGAGATCAGACTTGTCAAAATGATGCGCCACTTGCAGGAGAAGACAGATTGCTTGGACTGAATATATATTGTGGTCATCCATGAAGTTGGCTCGGAAGAGCACTTCGATGCTCTTGTTGAAAAGCACAAAGGATGCATCTGCGTTGGCTTAATAGGCCATGTTAATATCAAAGATCTATCGAAACTGCACGACCAAAGTTTAGCAAACATACCATTGACCGGCTGTGGCAGCGAAGACAGGTATTGATCATCAATATGGTACAGTGTTTGCTAAAATCTGTTATTAGCCTTCTTTCTCGTCGTGGCTAGGCTACAAAACACCTACAGAAAGGATTGCATAATACAAAGCCAGCCAAGACCTATTGCATTCTCGTCTCACAAGGTTTTCTTCAAACTCGTGCCGAAATGTGGGCATATGAACTGCGCAGTGCATCCAGGATAGATGGGACTGATGAAGGGCCAGAAGTGTCCTAGAATTTTGTTCGGTGAAGAATAAATCCCATCGCTCTTCTAAGTTGCTTTTCCCCCATGAATTGAGTGACAATGGTGACTCCGCGGTATCTTGCCTGCCAGCAAATTGGTTGATGACGTTCCGACGGCCATGAGTAAGAAACTCCAATGCTGCCGCTCTATCGCTGGTTAGGCGACTGTCAGCTGCCTGGGGCGAGTTCAATGTCTGTTGGAGTCCTTGACTGGAGCGATTAGAGAAGACATGCTCCTCAATATGAGCCCTTGGTTCGGGATAAGGGATGGTAGAAGCGACTCCAGCAACAGCGTCGTTGCCGATGGCCTCAGAAGAGGAATAAGGATCCGCTGGGGGCACATCTCTGGCTTGGTCAGAGTCCGACAGGCTGGGCAAGGGGCTATTGATGCTATTTTCTAATCCAGTGGTATCTGCACCATGCCCTCTCCTTCGGGTGACGACAACAACTTGCTCTCTTTGGCAAGACGAGGCCCTGTTGAGTCGTATGCATGCCGTGCAGGGTATTGTCTTGGAACACCGGATCTTACGCCGCGCACATGCCGTACACGCACGCACGCTTCTCTGGCTGTTTCTGACGGGTGTTCCAGTTGACATTTTGGCAGGAAAAGGGTGAGACTGGAAGCACGGCCGTGTCGAGATGACAAGAGAGGGGGATGGTGGAGAAACTGGCATCAAGGTGGGCACTGCTCCAAATTAACCTTGCTAACTCCTCGGCCGAGTTGACTCGAAACTCATTAGCCGACACCAAATTGCCGGTTTCGCTTGGTTCGGAAATGGGGCCGAACTTGAGGCCTAGGGCCTTAATACTGGTAGTCTCACATTCTTTTGGGTCAAGGAAATCTAGGTTAACATTGGCATATAAGTCCAATGGAGAATCACTGAGTGCCCTGTAACATCATGTGGAATAAATCAGAAAAAGGCTCTCTTCAGGGGTCAGGCGAGGGGAAGTCTCTTGAACTGACGAGCGAGAAGAGTTTAGTCTTCATCAGCTGGCTTCGTCCCCACGTCGGCCGAGGTGTCATCCTGAATGTACCTTCAGCGGAACATCATTGTGTCCACCCCTGTGAGTGAATGGACAGTAACCTCGGAAATTAATAAATAGACCGGTCAATAAATCATTGACTAGTTCATCTATGGAAACCTAAGCTTTAACATATCTAAAGACTCGCCCGAGCTGTTTGTTATCCACCGTACGCGGACGACGACGAATTGTTGACTAGCCCACGCCCGCATTTCTGTGCTGTCTGCTCTCACCCTTCTGTCGCTTTTCGATTAATGACACGGATCAACACATTTTAAGCGAATGCCCTTAGCAGGTGTAATAATGCCCCTATCGTCATAATATCTATTTTCGTTCTTGTTATTGCACCATCTCCCCCCAATGAGGACCAAGAAAATGCTTGTGAAATCACCGATATTGGTTGGTGTCAAGAGGTAAATCATTCCATCTACCACCCGTTCTGTTAGAAAGTTCAAAGGCTGACTGTTGCAAATAGAACGCAGGGTCAAGAAGGGTCGCTTCCAGAGACACAATTATCATCCGCCTCGGATTCGGAACTTGAGTTCCTCCAGGTGGGTTGGGACGGCGGTGATGATGACCCTTTGTGCCCACGCAGCTTCAGCAAGCCAAAGAAATGGATGATTGTGGCCATCGTTTCTATGGCATGCTTTTGTGTGTAAGAATAGCCCGCCCAGAGAAGCCGGTAATGGAGTGAATATTGTTGACAGTTTTGGGTTCAGCACAGCAGCGAGTTCCGTCTATACTTCCACATACCAGCAGATGGAAGAGTCATTTGGCAACTCAAGGAGGGTCTCGGTCCTAGGTCTCTCCCTGTTCGTTTTAGGGATCGGCTGTGGTCCTCTCTTCTTTAGCCCCCTGAGCGAGTTTTTTGGCCGTCGTCCCGTATACCTGGTCGCATGGAGCCTGTACGTGATTTGGACCATACCACAGGCTGTGGCCAATAACATTACCACGATGCTGGTCGCGAGATTCCTCGCGGCTTTCTCAGGAAGCACGTTTCTAGCCGTTGCGGGTGGAACGGTGGGTGACCTGTTTTCCAAAGATCAACTCCAATATCCAATGGCTATCTTTACAGTATCCCCTTTCATCGGACCTTGCATAGGACCCGTCATCGGCGGCTTTATAAATTACAATACGCACTGGAGGTGGACGTACTACGTTATGTTGATGTGGTCCTTCGCCCTACTCATGGCAATCGCATTTCTTGTCCCTGAAACATTCCGTACGTTCCTGAATCACATTGCTCAGAGAGTTCATGATTTTATGAGCTGATGGTTGTGCAGATCCCGCTATTTTACGACAGAAGGCTAAGATATTGCGACAATCTACTGGTGACTCGCGATGGAGAGCTCCCATCGAAGAACAGGACAAGTCGATTTTGGTTGCTGTTAGCAGGTCTTTGAAGCGACCATTTCAGCTACTCGTTTTTGAGCCCATGTGTCTCAGTCTTTGCATATTTTCAGCACTTCTTCTCGGGATTCTTTATTTATTCTTTGGGGCCTTCCCTCTTATCTTTCATACTCACCATCAGTTCAATCTTTGGCAGGTCGGACTCTCTTTTCTAGGTATAGGTGTTGGGCTGATCCTCGGGGTTCTCACTGACCCTATATGGTCTCGCATCCGTCTCCATTACGTGTCAAAACTTGCTGAAAGTACTGGGAAGCCCAGTGACGGGGAGCCAGAATTTCGGCTGCCTCCAGCCATCTTTGGGTCTTTGCTCGTCCCACTGGGTCTGTTCATGTTTGCTTGGACGACCTATACTTCGATTCATTGGATAGTTCCGATTACTGGATCAGCTATTTTTGGCATGGGGTGAGTCCAACGACGAAGCCAGCTTGAGCTTAGAATATTTCAGGACGTGTTGAAGATGGGCAACATAGCTGACCTCTGGTAAATAGGAACATCCTTGTGTTTACGGGTATATTCGCCTTCTTGGTAAGTTTCCACTAAACTAGTTTCTGCTCCTCTTGATTCAGTCTTATTGACTACGACAAGGTTGATGCATACCCAGACTACGCCGCCAGTGCATTGGCAGCCAACGCCTGCGTACGTTGTGTATTCGCCGGTATGTTTCCAGCGCCAGCCTCCAGATTGCACTCGTTTTGGGGCATGCTAATAGATGGATAGCTGCATTCCCCCTTTTCGGGAACGAAATGTACCTTGCTCTTGGATTCCAGTGGGCGTCATCGTTATTGGCATTTCTCACTTTGGCCATGGTGCCATTCCCATTCTTGTTCTTCAAGTATGGAAAAACAATTAGAAGTAAAAGCCGGATGGCCAAAAATTGAAGGGAGACAGATATGACTTGACTGGTGCTGTGAGAGACGCTTAGAAATACATCTTGGAACATAGATCCTTGTCCTTACGCGAACGGAGTACGGAAATATTTTTGGTAGTTTATAGAGGTAAAATATAAAAACTCTTTGTTTCATTGACAATTCGTTGTAATGTGACATAAGCCTTATGAATTATCTTACTCCCTACATGAGTGAGCGTGTTCATTCTTCATCATTCATTCCCGCACTGATGAAAGCAATTTCCGTCATTCTCCAGTAGAAAATGCCGTCTTTGGCTCTGTTTTAGATTGCAATAATAAATTTAATCTTAATATTGAGTCTCTCATTTTATAACGAACCAACTGCATGGGCTGAGCTGCCGTCATTATTCTACGATGACCGCAACTTCTGCACTAATATGTCGAGAGCTTGTGCCTATATAACACGTATATGTTCCCGGATCAACTCTCCACCTCCCGCCTGGGTATGGACCCTCGCGATCATCAACATCAAACCATGACACAGAGTCGGCACCGAGTTCGACGCTCACAGACTTGGTAGTTCCTTTTTCCACAAATACTTTGGCAAAGCCTACAAGAGAGCGCGGTGCCGACTGTCTACCTTTCTCTTGTATCGCGGGCGAGCTGCCAAGATAAACTTGCACGACTTCTGCTCCATCGTGGTTCCCGACGTTGCTCACATTTGCACGAATGACCGCCTTGGCATCTTCACTGGCGCTTATGATACCTTCGACGCTCACTTGGGAGATTTCGAATTTCGTGTAGGACAGCCCGAACCCAAACGGCCAGAGTGACTCAATCCCTTTTGCGTCAAACCATCTATACCCTACAAGGATCCCCTCTCCGTACTCTGCAAAGTCGTTTTCGGCGTCACCAGGGAACCAATCATGCGAGCCATGGTCTTCCAGCGCCCTTGGGAACGTGATTGGGAGCTTCCCGCTAGGGTTCACCTTACCTAGAAGGATGTCTGCCAGGGCGTTGCCGTTCTCCTGGCCCTGATACCAGGCATGGACGATCGCAGGAGCCCGGTCTGCCCAGGACATGTCGATTGCGCTCGCCGACTGCGTGACCACAACCACGTTTTTGTTCGCCTTGCAAACTGCTTCAACGAGCTCGTTGGTCCGTCTTGGAAGGAACAGAGATTTCCGATCGATCCCTTCCTTTTCGGTGTCATTGTTGTGGCCGACAACAAGGACGACGGCATCTGCGTCTGATGCTTTACGTATGGCTTCTTCAAAAAGCGCCTGCTCCTCGATGCGAAGCTGAACCCCGACCCTAAGCCCCGAGAGAGTATGGAACAATGTATTGTCATGCGGTGGGATCGGAGGCGGAACGACTACATTGTCCACACGGAAACCATAGCCACGTCCGGCCTCGAGCCAGAGCTCGCCAAGGCGATTGGCGCTGCCACAGTTCATAAACGAGCCGCCAAGCTCAGTCCACTCGGAGTTGTCGATAAGGAGTTCACCATCGATGAACAGCTTTGCCTTGCCCGTGTTTGACAAGGAAAAGTCGAAGAGCCCCGATGTCGTCGGGGTGAGCACGCCACTGAGCCTGTAGCAATGCGGCTCTCCTCGAAGCACCTCGGGGGTATCTCCGTCGCTCATCATAAACACCACCGAGTTATTCCAATGCGAGGACCCAACAACCTCCCCCTGGAACTCATGGCCCTTGAAGAATTCGACGCGAACGCCCACTTGTCCGCCATCGGGTGTGCGAAGCATGCTTCCTGGAAGTGTGGGTTGCAGGTTGGTCAGTATCCCTTGAGAGAATGAGATCCTAAGGGAGGGATTAGCCTCGATCACCATTTGGCTGAGCGCCTCATAAGGCGTGGTGATGTAGTATGGATTCACTGCCGCGCTTCCCGTTCCTCCGGTTGTCGGTTTCTGAGCATTCGGGCCAATAATCGCCAGGCTCTTGTAACTTTCTGGCCTCAGAGGCAGAGTGTTATTGTCGTTCTTGAGAAGCACGATGGAGCCGGAAGCTGCCTCTCGTGTTGTCTGGCGGAACTCTGGTAGATCTGAATTCTTTTCAGCGTCGGGTATGACTTCTTCTGCGTCCAAGAGCTTGGCCCGATCCAAGAGCTCCAACAGTCTTCTAACCGAAACATCAATCTGATCCTTCTCCGATACCTTTCCTAGGCGAACCGCGTCGAGAAGCTGGGCACCGTATCGAATACCAGGGCCGGGCATCTCCAGATCCGTGCCAGCGACGATGCTCTTCACTGTATCGTTTGTGCCACCCCAATCGCTGACAACTAGGCCATCGAATCCCCATTCGCTCCTGAGAACCTGTTCCAACAGAAACCGACTGCAGTCAGCATGCTCACCATTGATTTTTGGATAGGCTGCCATGGCTGTCCAAGGCTTGCTAAGCCGGACCGCCAAATCGAAAGGTTTGAGGTAGATCTCGCGCAGAGTCCTCTCATCGATCTGCTGGTCCATGTTGAAGCGCCTTGTCTCCATGTCGTTCGCAACAAAGTGCTTGATGCATGCACCAACGCCATGCTTCTGCACACCATTGACGTAGCTGGCAGCGAGAATCCCGCTCAGGAAGGGATCCTCTCCAAAGTTCTCAAAGTTGCGCCCTCCAAGCGGCGACCGGCTGATGTTCATGGTGGGGGCCAAGAGCACATGGGAGTTCTTGCTCCGCGTCTCGGCGCCCAATATATCGCCGATGCGCTCTACCATTACAGGGTCGAACGTAGCCGCGAGTGAGATGCCGCAGGGGATATACGTCGTGTGAGCGCCGTCTGTCCATGTTGACCCTCGCACGCCCGCAGGCCCGTCAGTCATCTTCAGGCTTTTGATGCCCAGGCGATCAATGTTGAGGGTCTCCCACATATTCTTGCCTGCCAGGAGAGAGCATTTTTCCTCGAGAGTGAGGGTGCCAAGGATGGATTCGATTCTGCTGCTTTGCCCCATTGTGACTTGCTTGAGAGATGATGATGATTGCCGGACTCGCTACAAGACAGACATCTGCCGGTGATTAGAGTATTAAATGGTTAATCCAGGTTTTCAGATCAGGTGCCACTATTTGTATACCATTACTGCAAACATGGAATGGATTTGTCAATATCATGCTTGTTATGGATACATAAAAACGCAACCTCTCCACCAAACCTAAACACGGCCGAGGTTTTCTCCCCATTTTCCCCTTCAGAAAGTTGACTTGGAGAAAGGGAGGGGAAATTCAGAGTGGAGCTGAAGACATGGTCCCCTTTTTGACCAATGACTACCAGCAAATCCTGCCCGTGACCAAGCCAAACCTCGTCAACCACCAGCTCGGCCGTGTGCTAAATGAAAACTCGACCTCTTCATAACACGGCCGAGCCACAACCTTCTGAATCGCTAGCCAAGCCTGGGGAGGAGGGGCTGCAAGGGTCTTCCTACTTGCGGGGACCCCAAAGTGTTTGTAGGATTGAAGCATAAATATTCCCGCCATGCCTCAGTCGAAGACGAAGAGAGATCGTCACTATCTCTCCCCCTTAGTCTTCTGAAGCACTGACGCATTTCCATTCGAATCACATTGAAGCTTTCAGCAAGGGCCCGCCAAGATGTTCAGCCGGCTACCTCAGGCGGCCCGGATGGGCATGACAGCAGCTCTTGTCATCTCGGCCTGTGTCGTCGATTCCGTGACAATCGCCTATGACGGGTCCGTTATGGGTTCCGTCAACGTCATGCCGAGTTACAAAGACTACTTCCAGATCACGACGACAACTAAGGCTGTCAACTCTACAGCCACCCACTTGGGCGCCATCCTCATGGCCTTCTTTGCCGGCTTCATCGTCGACAAGCGCGGGCGAAGGGAAAGCATCTTTGTCAGTGCCGTCATCAATGTCATCGGAGCTATCATCAGTGGTAGCGCACAGAATATCGCCATGTTCATCGCGGGCCGAATGATCATCGGGATCGGTGTCGGACTTGCTCAGACCGCCGCCGGAACCTATGTGTCTGAGACGACAGCGCCCAAAATACGCGCCTTCGCGCTTGGAATGTATTATTCATGCTGGGCTGTGGGAAGCTTCCTTGCTGCCGGCATATCATATGGCGTGAGTTCATTACCTTTCTCCCATTTCCCTCGAATTCTCTACTCCATTGTACAGCACTAGGGGAAGAAGTAAGGCTAATCGCATATAGTGCTCTCAACTTCACCCGTCAGATTGGGCTTGGCGAATTCCGTCTTTCTTCCAGGGATTCGCGCCTCTTCTGATTCTCATCATCGTCCCATTTCTACCCGAGTCCCCTCGTTGGCTCATTGCTCACGACCGCCTCGATGAGGGCCTCAACGTCATTGCACGCATAAATGCTGGGACAATCGACGACCCAACTGTACAACTCCAGTACCGGGAGATCATCGACACTCTGAACTACGAAAAATTAGAGGGGAAAAGCCTCGCCTTCCAGGAGATCTTCCGCAATGCGCCCAACCGAAAGCGACTGGCACTGGCCCTCTCACTCGCGCCTCTCACAATGTTGACGGGTTCTAATGTAATCACGTATTATTATGGGGATATGCTTTCCCAGGCTGGAATCACCTCTTCTCACACGCAAATGGAAATCAACCTGATTCTGTCGGCTTGGCAATTTGTCATCGCAGTATCGGGCTCGTTGCTGGCTGAGAAGCTCGGCAGAAGGGTCCTGTGCCTTTTCTCCCTAGGACTCTGCACCGCCATGTTTTACCTAGTTGGGGGCCTCACTTCTCTCTACGGCTCTGGGGGCAGCCAATCCGGCGTCTACGGTACTGTGGCTGCAATCTTCCTATACCTGGGCTCCTACTCCTTTGGGCTGACTCCGTTGACGAACATGTACCCCCCTGAGGTCCACTCGTACAATCTTCGAGCCACGGGCATGGGACTATTCACAGTCCTCGCCAAGGCTTGTGGTATTTTTGTCACTATGGTTTTCCCGTTCATGTTCAAATCACTCGGGTGGAAGACATATATGATAAACGCCAGCTGGAATGTCGCCTTCTTTGTCTTTGTTTACTTCTTCTGGGTGGAGACTAAAGGGAAGACTCTAGAGGAAATCGACGTGCTGTTCGATGGGGTCAAGCACTCCGATGTGCCGGATCTGAATGCCGTGGATGCTGACGAGAAGGCAATTGAAACTATGGTTGAGCGTGTCTAAGTAGAGTGCAATATCCTCAGAAGATGAAGGGGTATGGGTCAATAAGCTGTACGGAATCGCGTTTCATATTTCGAGAATTAATAGTCAGTCTACGAATCAGCAGATTATGGATTCGATCCCCACCGAGACCTTTCTCCGATCTCTTCTTGTCATCGTCAGCAAATTTTGTCTTTATCTTGACGTTTTTGCAATCGTTATTAACAAATCCTCCGACTTTCCTTTCCCTCCATGTCCTTTGTTGTTTACATGCAACCTTCCCAGCGCGATTATTCTATTGACGATTCATGATCCATGACCTAGCAGCTAATCATACATACGTGCCATCTAATAAAGCCGGCACAAAGAGTGCCACCAACACCTGCGGTATCAGGAAAAGACTGAACCAGCAAATTATCGCCCACTTCTTCGCTTTCAATTCCTCAAACCCCTGGTTGGCATCAGTATTCGCCACACCCTCGTTGGTTTCCCAAGCAGCTTCTGCCGCGTTGTCCTGGTACTCTGCTCGAACCAGCGTCCGCTGTGCTGCTCGGGCGACTCGCCGCTCTCGAACGACCTCCAGCACCCACACAAAGACCAGCAGACAGGGCTGTAACACGGCAAAGACCATTACCTGCCGTTTGTTAAGATCGCCGATACGTTCGATGGTTAGCTTCCCGCTGCCCCATGCGGCGAGCGACAGTATAAGGTAGGTCATGAAGCCCTTCCACGAGGTCGTGTGGTGAACGATCCAGATCCACAAGACTAATATTTTCAAGCTATTCATCAGTCCTGGATGCTTAAAACTCGGTGTTGGCGATCTGGGGGGCACTTACGGGGTAATACAAGTAACTGCGCAGATGCCGTGGCCAGCCAAAGAAAGCTCTCGCCGCCAAGCATGGAGCAACCGTATAAACCTAGTATACTGATCGTGCTGCAGCCCAATGTGACGATTTCTAATCCTCGGAATAACAGCATCTTTTGGTTAACAAAGCTCCCGATCAAGGCTTTCTCATGAATGACGACTCACGGATGAGATGTGGATACAGCCACAGTAGAATGATGATGAAAAGCGTAAGGAGGGTGTAGAAAACGTTGAGCCAGAGGTTCGGATTGTACAGGAACAAGTGATGTGTATTGACCAAGGCCCCGGAGACGATGCTGCTCGAGACTGTAGCCATGATAAAGAAGAGTAGGGAGATGATCGTGGCACTCTGCGGTAACTTGTAGCAGGCATTGGATTAGCATCACGAGCACATCCAACATTGGTCTTTCAGGGTGGCATATGAGGGGATACAAGAGAGTAGGGGAACTCACGTCTTGGCGTGCCCAAACGGGGGTGTAGTCACGCCCCTCGGTGGAGAATTTGTGCCGAGCTGATCGGCGAGTCAGGGACACTCCCTCGAAGCTGTTGGTCCACGGCTTTACTTCCGGTAAATCGAGCAGCGTGGTGCTGAAGAGAGCAAATATGGATATGATTAAGGACTGGGTAGCTTGCGCCTGGGTCCTGTCTCTGTACATGATGGCCGCCGAAGTACAAAATAGCAATCGAAAAACAGTCTCCCGAATCGAGTGCCATGAGATTGTGTGGAGAATCATGTATGGGAAAAAGATTCCAACTGCGAAGCCATGGAATATTGTTATGAAGGTTGTTTCATACTTCATCGTCTCGCTCATGTACAAGCATTGGAGAGAAGCTAAAGGTCAATGTTAGAGGGAAACACGATGGAGACAGAATTCATGGCCGGTGCAGTGGGACGTGTATATACCTTGCAAATATACCACGGGGGCAACGGCCCTGGATAAGAGGCGCTTATGGAGGAGGAAAAACGCAATTGGCTGAGCGAGAACGAAGCCGAAGAAGAATAAGACAAAAGGGGTCCCGTCAGCAACTCCAGAAAGCTGTAGGTTTGCGTATTGAGTCCCAACAATCTAGCCGTCTCAGTTAATAGCTGAATCATAGTACACTTTCGGCGTGGGTAGAAACTTACACATTGCATTATGTAAAATACCAGCTCCGGTTTCCACTCTCTGCTCTTTGTCGAGGCCTGGCCATCCATGCTTGAGTTGATTGCATCTTCATCATGAGGGGCCTCGGTGACTTTCAAGGGGAATGACTCAAGAGAAAGGTTCACCGATCTGGCCAACTTCATTTGCTGGCGGACGCACTCCTCCACCCGCAGCGTCTCCTCGCGATGATAGACACCAGTCTCGTGGTTGTAGGAGCAGAGAATGGCCCGGTGTCCGGCAGCATCTTCGCCACAGAGCATCATCGCAATGGGAGGAGCGGCGCAGTTTATCACCCTGAGAGTTTGCGCACACGTATCTATCAACGTAAAGGTGAACTTGGATGGGGACTTCGTAGGCCCAGACTCATAAACGGCAGAGTTGGGGGCCGTCGTTGATGGAATCTCTGTGAGTCTTCCACAGTGATAGCCGTAGATGTGTCGCTCAGCGGTTGCGCAATCCAGAACACCTTCCATCCCAACCAAGCGGGCGCTTCTCAACTCTTTGCGTCTAGTCTTCCATTCATAAAGCAAGAAAGCAGGCAAGGTCACTGGTGAGAAAATGGCTTGCGCGAAAAATAACGAAACAAGGAATCGGGGAACAGCACCTTGGAGTGTTTGGATGCTTCCAAAGGCAGATACGACCAAGTAGACGATCCGATACCATGCGCACAGCGGGAAAAAGAGTAAAATGGCAAATAAAATCTCTGGAAAAACAGGCAGCCTTTCATGCAAGGTAGCTCTTTCGATCTTATCCCAGAAGATAGGTGTAGCGTGGATGTTTTGAACCTCAACGGCGTTCGACCCAGCAACGTCGACCGTATCACAGCGAGGACGGAAGTCTTTCAGTTTCACACCCCAGTAGTCTGTGATATCTGACCACTGGGCTCCTGGTTTTGCGGGTGCGACGCACAATAAACGACTAAGCAGACTGCTGCCTTCCACGGCGAGGGCGAGACGGGCAAAGGCTCGAAATCCGGAGTCGTTCTGATCCACCATCGGTCTCTGGCTGTCTGGGAAGAGCCCCATGACGGCGTACGCGATGTCGCCCTGGCTGAACTGATCTGTCTTCCGCCGAGCGAAGCACTCCAGAGCAATGCTAATGAGCTGCGTCGGGGGGAGAATAGCCGAGCCCTCATAGTGATTCACCAGCTCCTTAACAGACTCGGCGTCATCCCAAGCTCTCTCCGCAAAGTTCCGCTTCGCTAGAGATTTGGGCTCATTCATATCGCCGGCCACATAAAGCTTGATGCGGTATTCGTTCGGGCAGAGGAGGAGTTCAGGCAATGTCCATAATCGTGAGCCCCATTGACGCAGCCATCTGGTGGCATGCTCGGCGCTGCCCGAGGGAGCGTTTCCATCGCCATTGAGAATGCGCGCGACTTTCTCGTCTGCTGGAGGACCAATAGCAATAATCATCGAGTGCGCGGCCCGGACAATGTCGCAGATCCGATAGACATCCTCGCTCTTGCTGCTGGCTTCTGCAACGCCATCCGAGTCGCGCACACATTCGAAATCAAGCCAAAAGGCGCGTTTGCCAGCAGCCAAGGCGGCGTCGATGCCCCATTGGATAAGTGTTTCGCGATCTCGGTGAGCCAACGTCCTGTTTGCTTCTCTCGTCTCCTCGTTGGGATACTCCTTCCACTCATCAATCTCGGCATCTGTGACAACCCGAAACTGCAGGCGGGTGTAAGATACAAAGACAAACTCTGTATCTGCCTGATTGCCATGTTGCTGACTATAATCGGATACCTTCATCGTGCTGTACTGCCTCTTTTCTGGATCGGTGATGAAGCATAAGTACCTCGGCCCCAAGGACAGCCCCCTTGACTGAAATCGGGAGGAAGATGACGATACATTGCTGAGAATTGCCTGGTCTAGCCCGGGTGATGCTAGTTGACTCCCAAGTTGGATGTTAGTTGAGGAGGGATTACTTGATAAAGGTGGTGCCTCGTGGGCCTCTGACGATGATGAGGATGATGATGATGGGGGCGGCAGCGATGTTGGCAGCTTGGGGTATTGGCATTGTGCCTCAATCTGTTCTGGTGATTTTCTCCTGATATTTCCAATCCTCGTTACAATTGAGGCGAGAGCACTAGGTATCTAACCACCCGCCGTCAGTCAAATTCACCATTACCAACACTTGAAGTTATACTGGGTCTAGGACTACAAACCATAAAAGCGCATAGAGGAGCTGCCACGAGAAGTCTCAGGATCAAGAAGAAGAAGGATCTAGGCGAATAATCCACCCTCTCGCTGCCCTTGACGAGTATCGGAGTCAAAACCCAATACCAAATGGCCTCCATAGTGCCGACCTTGGACAAAGGCTCCCGCAGCCGAGTCCATGGCACATTCTCGGGCAGTGGGGAAGGCTGCTTGAAGCTCTGGATGACCAGCGGAATGAGTTTCCCATCTCCCGGCTGTGGGTACAGGAGATGAGCACCCTTGTGCGCATCGACACTGGTTATGGGCTGTTCGGTCGAAGGCATGGTGGATGCGTGTTTGGGCGTCGCAAATGAACCACCATGTCTGATTTGGGTTTTTGTTTCGAGTATGATGAGCAGGAAGAGATTAAATCCGAGGGAAGCTACGGCCGGGACCTAGGGAGCAGCCGCATTGGCTGACGAATGTGCCCTTGTCGCTGCTTCGTCTTGCCACAGGGGCGGTGCAGTGTTATTTTTAGATCACAGGGTGCCTGACAAAGTGGATGTCAGAATAACAGGGACTGCAAAGGTGTTTCTATGCCAACTTTGCAATACAGGCCACAATATTGATAGAAATAGTTAATAACGATGATATTGAATTAGTTAGTAACTAGGCAATATGATATACCTATTATAACACAATAGGAAGACAATAATTCTGTCGAGGTGACTTTGCAGTCCCTGTTTCTCTGTCAGCCACTTGCCTGAGTGTGGCTGAGATCAGCACAAGCCACTTTTGGAAGATCCCTTCAGTTTGGAGCAGCGTGAAAGGTGGCTGAGTCCTTGGCATTAAATCATACATGATGCAAGTCAATATCTGGGCTCCTGGAAAGTATGGTTCATTTAGTTTCAAGTACGCTGATGTGCTCTGGCATCCCCTTGGAAGCTACTGTCGAGACTGGCCAAAGGCTGACGGATGGAATAAGATTTTCTGGCTCTGAAGAAATCCCCTTGACTCACTAAGGCACAAGGATTTAAATGGCGTGCACTCCCTTAGGAAGGCGCTCCATCAAAAAGAGCGATATAGAGAGGAGAACATGTATTGAAGATACTGATTCTCACGGATCGCTACACCTTTACTACCTAGCTATAAGAGTTGAACTACCATATGGAAGAAATTCTGTTAATTTTGGAAGGAAGAAGAGGATATTTCCCTGCTCTCTTGCAGGACTCAAGGAGATAGTTAAAAGACAGACACCCCTTTTCCCTTAGTAGACAAGCCAAGGGAACATGGCCTTGTTGAATCAGGACGGCAAGGGAGGAAAAGATGAGGGAAATGTTACTATGCTTGAGGATTGAATGCATTTGTTGTGTTCTGCTAAATATCGCAGCTATAGTGACCTTTTGCCATTTACTACCATATTGAGTGTGTGGGAGGAGAGAGGACCCAGCTGCTGTCAACTCTCGGGACAAGTGGCCAATACCATCCTCACCTGGTTGTCTCTCATGGTTGCCGCGTCTATTTTGTGAAGAGTGGCTGAGTATGACATCGCCAGAAGTTAATTAGCGTAGCCGATGGCATTCTACAAGACGATGAAGAACGCTAGGCTAAGAATCTAGTTAGCTTTGCTAAAGAATAGACTTTACTGCTAGCGAATTGACAGAAATCAAATCTAATGGGCCTAGAATCTACGTTTAATAGGCCTATTCAGAGATTCGCAAGGCGACAGGTGAGAATGATCTGCGCTTTGTTCATAATCTTTTCGGGTAATACGGCAGCGAGCGGATAATGACATTGCTGGCCCCTGATGACCTACGGGACATATATGACCGTATCTGTTTCATGTACACATCTCGGAGAGGTCATCTCTCGACTTTTCATTTGCAGATATGTATAAATATCAACCTTCAACTAGGCGTTATCGGAATATGCACACATCAGATTGGAAAAAATGGGCAATACCAAAGCATCAGCAAATAAGAATTATGTATTTAAACCACAAAAACTATGAAGGATTATGACATAGGAGAGTAAGAAATCACCTGAGAGGGAATAATCCCCCTCATCGTACCTCTTTTTTGGCACCCCCTTTTCTGTTTTCAGTGGTGAACTAGCAGATCGGAGCGTCAGAAGTCACTCGCAACGGATTACTTCCCCGTGGACTGTAATTTTTCCCACTTCCTTTCTGGTCTTTTGGTCGTAAGAGCACGAAAGATAGTCACGCGTTATTTGCCAAGCAAAAGCATGTCTGCTGACCATTCCATCAATCCTCCCGGTATGGAGCACAAACCTGGAGAGAAGTGATAGCCCGAATTGGCTCCAACACTTGATATGCAGTGCCCCGTCATCCATCGAATCGGGTTCACGGCAATTTTTTCGATCAAGCGGGAGCGTAATCCTTGATGATCATTGTCTTCTGCGTAGAAGGGTTCTTGTTATCCTTTGGCAACGTAACCTCTGCTGGGAGCTTGTAGAACGATGTGATATCATCAATATCGGTCTTCTGCACCTGCGGAGGCAGGTTATAGCTCATCACTGAGAGCGGGTTTCGTGTTCCATAGACCTGTGCCCCTCCCTCGTAACGGTCGGGGTCCAAGGCAAACTCGTGGCGAAGGCCTAGGGTGTGGCCAAGTTCATGCAGGAAGGTGTTTTTGAGCGTCTCTCGGTTTTTCTTGTCCGTGAAAGAGAAACTGTAGACGAACAGAGTGTTCAACGGCTGGGGGTTGGGGAAGAAGGCCGATGCCATAACGCCACCCTTATCACCGCCGAATTCGAGGACAAATGCAGCTTGTTTGAGGTTGTTGACCCATTTGAAGGTCACACCCAAGTTGTAGCTGTTCCACTGTTCCGCCGCCTCCCACAAACTGACGGCCGCATACTTGGCGTCGTCTGGGCTGGGATAGCCGTTGGCATAGGTGGCGTAGTTTACAACCGATCCATACTTCCAGCGTGGGATCTCCGTAAACAAGCCAACCAAAATGGAGGCCACGGAGCTGGTGTCAAACTTCTCAGTCACACAGGTGTATTTGGCCTGAAGGTTGCCGTTGCCTGTGGTGGTGTTGTTGGTGGAAGGTTTTTTGTAGGTCTTGAGAACCGTTTGTGGGTCAAGGACTTCAAGACTCTTGTCAGGGAACAATTTTCCAATGAGTTTGAGGGCAGCATTTCGCCGGTCATTGTTGGACAGATTCTTATCAGAAGGAAGACTAGGGCTCGACATGATGGGCTGGATGAGTTCTCTGTCCTCTGGGGGCGGGTGTGATGATAATGGTCTGGATGATGAACTTTGGCGAGGTTCGTTCACAGTCCCACACCAATCTGTTTCTTTGTTTGGATCCGTGGTAGTTCTGGGGAGACGTTAAGGATGTAGAAGTGGATTTGATTGTTTCAGTGCAGGTTGGAAAGAAGAGTTGCGATGAAGAGGGATGCAAGGTGTGTCTTATATAGCCGACGAGTCTTCTATTCGTTCTCTATCCTCTTGAAGAAAATTTTTCTCGGGGTGAAGCTGGAATGTGTAGATGGGCCTGGATTCGCTTCAAACTTTCAAAGATTCAGCTTTAGCCGTAGCATATCTCATATCCATCGATCAGCGGTCGAGACTCCGGGACACACCAATGAAGTGATCATCTGACTGATACACAATACGTGGATGAATTGAATTCCTATCAGATGGTAGAATCAACTTTTCGGTGGAATGAAGGCACCTAGGTTTTACTCTACTTTCACATCGATGGTGAAAGGCAGGCGGCAAACTTCCCTAGACCTTACCCAAACCATTGTTCTGTATTATGTATCAATAGTTTGCATGTCAGATTTGCATCTGAGAAAATCATATTACCACCTATGACGCTCTGTTCTGGAATGTGGGCTGAACCCCGCACGTCGTTGATCCAGTACTTCAAGAAGGCTACTAACTTTGGTTTGGCGGCTGAGGTTTTAGTTCGAATATTATAAAGTTTATGACAGATCAGCCTCGCGTGGCGTCCCTTTGTCAGTGTATCGGAAAACTAGAAGGAATCCCAAGGTCATTGATTGTGTGAATTTCTAGTGATCTTCCTCGAGCCGTACCACAATGGTGATCTAGTAGCTCTTGAGATTTGGAGTATTTGAAGTTAATCGGTCAGCAGTGCGGTTTGACCGGCATGCTGCCAAATTTCCTCTGTTACTTTGGGTGGCTCGTGGCTTCAAGGTTACAGAATGCGTCATGTATCCCGGCTATTCACCCGGCCAGCCGTCGCCTCTATCTCTATGCAGATCATATGTTGCTAACTATCGCAATCTTACACCGGAATGACACCATGAACAGGTCATATGGAAGATCTTATCCATTGTTTCAACGAGGTTAAATTACGAGTGAAGTACTTCGATCCTTTGATTACAATCGGGGCACTAAATCTAGCGAGAAAGATATTTGCTTGTGAAGGGGACTGGGCAATTATTACGCACGAGATGTCGAAGCTATTTCTTTTATGGTACCACCACTCACTTGGGTCTCGTTGAGTAGTCGATCTTCATAAGAAGACTCAGCAGGTGGAATAGTTGCAGAACTACCCACTATGCGATTGAGAGCCAGTTCAAGCTAGCACTTGTTTGATTTCCCCTTTTTCATTGTAGTGAGTCTTCTTTTCTTGAATACAAGCACGGCTGGTAAACCACTGCTAGTATCCTTTTCTGAGTTCGGTCTCCAAGGGCGTAGCTATTGGAATATTGATAGATTATAACCCTCTATGAGACTGGGCCTCCGTGGTCACTTGGTGGGCGACGGTATGTAAGTGAATCTATAGATTCGCTAAACTAACATCAAATACGGAAGAACAGAATGGCCTACCTCGGAATTGCTTACAACTCTGACCCGAAGATTGGTATCAACTCCCTTAATATAATTCATTTCTGAGATTAATCTTAAAAAGAATTACTTAAATTTCGAATTGGCTATAAGTGCCGTAATCTCCTTTATTTGCCATTTTTAAGGGCTTTCAGATGGTATATCCTTTCAGTCTGGCTAAACTTATCGGCGAAGTCCCCCACACTGCGCCAGATGGCGTTGTCGCCGGCGACTCTTTTGGTAATGGCCACTTTCTAACCAGCGCAGGTGCTACATGGCCGGCCATGCCTATCACTTTATAGAGTATTGGAAGCGTCAGGATGAGGGGAAATGCCACGAGCCTCCATCCGTCATCTAAGTGACCAAGTCAAGAATGATACATTGGCCTGGCTCGGGGTGAGCGCCAAGGAATTCGGCGACGCTAAACAGTGTCAAACAAGCTTCCTCCTATAAATGTAATTCATCCCGCATTGTGATCCCAGCGACGATTCTTGAGCAAGCTGCAACGTTGTGGGCGTCCAGGAGTCATAGTATGAGGGCTGAGTGGTCATGTTGCGAGAAGTTGCCAGCTAATGTGGCAAAAGCGTTCATACAAAAGCTTATCTATGCATTCAGTGTCTCATATATACAAAGCTTTATGGTCTCCTATATACGGATAGGTTCCGTATGATAAATTTAGCTAAATCAAATCCATACAGCTCTCAGCTTAGCTTTGCGCTCCCCATAGCCCACAATCCTAGGAAATGCGTGATCCTCATATCAATAAGTTTCTTAGCCAGACTTCTTTATTCCCATTACCTAAACCATCTGTTCGTAACGCATCCTCTAGGATCTTTCCTTCCTTGTTACTTCCCCTATAGACACCTCCTATAGGTACCTGGATCCTGAGCTCCTCTCTTGCTATTTTCTCTATCCAAATGAACCGATATCGCAGAGTCAAACTCGTCAACAATTGGGGATGGATATTGTTTGCCGAGATTTTCAAAAGACTATTACTTTAGGCAAGTCGATTAAGCTCGTCATGGCAGTTGTTGACCAGACTAAGCTTCCCTTTCCAACCGCTTCAATCAGAATGTCGATCAGGCTCCTGGTACGACCTGATGACACTCTCAGGCTTCCAGGTTGGTCCGGATCTACCGCATCCCGGTGACATACGGCCTCCATCCCACCAATGACATAGTTGAGTATGACATTTCCTCCACTCTCTCACTCTCAAATCTCATATGTCAATATTGAATGGAATGATTCTAAATCGGCTTATTATTGATCAGAGAGCGCATTTATCCAGCTCCAACAGCCCAATACAGATCCCAGTGCGGAGGCTAAGCGTCCGAGAGCGACGCTAGGCGTTGGCGGGACTCGTGATCCCTCGGCTATATTTCCTGATGCATGCCATGATACCCCATACTGCAACACCATTGGGGCAGGCCGGCAAATGCGGCATCCAGTCGGGAGTTCGGTGGAATTCTTTATATATAACTGATCCGTACCAATCGCGTCTGCCTTTTGAAAATACCCATTAGCCTAGCCAGTGTAGCAAGAGCGATATATCAAGAGATATTAGAAATTGCGTAGAATTATATAACAGAGGGATTCCCGGTATAGCGGCGTAAAGTAATTATTCAAGCAGTCTCATGAAACCTACTGCCCTTTTGAACATGCCCTCGCTATCCTCCAACATCGCACTCGGCCTCATTGCCGCAGGCGTCATCCCGCTTGTTGCCGCCGGACCATGTGATCTCTACGCGTCTGGTGGAACACCATGTGTTGCAGCACATAGCACTACCCGTGCGCTGTATAGTTCTTATACCGGTGCCCTCTATCAAGTGAAACGGGGCTCCGACAGCACCACGACTAATATCTCACCTCTATCCGCTGGAGGGGTCGCTAATGCTGCTACCCAAGACTCTTTCTGTTCCGGCACCACCTGCTTGATCACCATTATCTATGATCAGTCCGGTCGCGGCAATCATCTGACCCAGGCGCCCCCCGGAGGCTTCCAGGGCCCAGAAGCCAACGGCTATGACAACCTAGCCAGCGCCACTGGAGCACCCGTCACTCTCAACGGCCAGAAGGCATATGGCGTTTTCGTTTCTCCCGGAACCGGGTACAGAAACAACGCCGCCAGTGGCATTGCCACCGGGGATGCCGCCGAGGGTATGTACTCGGTCTTGGACGGCACACACTACAACTCGGGGTGCTGCTTCGACTATGGCAATGCCGAGACCAGCAGTTATGATACTGGAAATGGGCACATGGAGGCAATCTATTGTATGATCTCCCCCTTTTGTTCACTACTATGATAATGCTAACCGTTACTAGTCGGAACGAGCTCGTCTTGGGGCACTGGCTCCGGCAGCGGTCCATGGTTGATGGCTGACTTGGAAAACGGATTATTCTCAGGTGTATCATCAGGTTACAACTCCGGTGACCCATCCATCTCCTCGAGATTCTTCACCGCTGTTGTCAAGGGAGGACCGAACCTGTGGGCGCTCCGTGGCGGGAACGCTGCGTCAGGATCACTCTCCACGTACTACAGCGGCATCCGACCGACTGCTTCGGGCTACAACCCCATGAAGAAAGAGGGCGCCATCATCCTCGGGATCGGCGGTGACAACAGCGTGAGCGCCCAAGGCACCTGGTACGAGGGCGTGATGACCTCGGGCTATCCCTCCGATGCCACTGAGAACTCCGTCCAGGCGAACATTGTTGCTGCCAAGTACGCCACAACCTCTTTGACAAGCGGCACGGCATTGACTGCCGGAACCTCCATCTCATTGCGTGCCACCACCTCCTCGAGCAACACGCGGTACCTTACTCATACCGGCACTACCGTCAACACACAGGTCGTCACATCCTCCAGCGCCACGACTCTGAAACAACAGGCCAGCTGGACAGTCCGTGCGGGACTTGGAAACAGCGCCTGCTTCTCATTCGAGTCAGTCGACACCCCCGGCAGTTACATTCGCCACTCCGACTTCACCCTTTATGTCAACGCCAACGACAGCACGAAGCAGTTCAAAGAAGATGCTACCTTCTGCCCACAGAGCGGCATCAGCGGGCAGGGCAGCTCAATACGATCTTGGAACTACCCAACACGCTATATCCGCCACTACAGCAACGTAGGCTACATCGCAAGCAACGGTGGCGTCCACACATGGGACAGTGCCACATTGTTCAATGATGACGTTAGCTGGGTGATTAGCAGCAGTTTCGCTTAAAGTAGTCCGATACTGAATAAGGGGCTGTAGAGATTCTACTCCAGGTAGTACAATCAATATATTATACAAGCTCTTGTAAAAAACTGAACAAACACTGGTAATTAAGTCTTCACAAGTCTCAATGCGCATATAGAAGTGTGTGTAGGCCTGTCTTGGGTTCATATTGATCTATCAAAACAGATTTTCTTCTACATGTAAGGAAACAAAATGCCGAAGATACACATTGCTCGATCAGACACACGGTGCCCATCGGAGCAAGCTCTCTCCCATCCACAGTATTAAAAGACACCAAATCCATATCCCAAAATCCTCGATCCTCCGTATTTCAACGAATGCCTCTGAATAAAAGGAGGGACAATCAGTGATCCAGAAAGTAACTTTTTATTGGCAGAGTGTTCACCGGTACTCAGATTGCCAACGTGCTTGGTGAGTACTCTAAGCAGTGCGGGTGAGGGTGACGAAGCCGCTGGAAGGGGCCTCGGTAGGGAAGCTGCCATCACCGCCCTCAGGAGTACCAGTGGGACGGTCGCCGCCGAAAGTGCCAGTAGGACGCTCACCATCCTCATCGCCACCGTGGCCAGCGCCAGGAGTGCCGGTGGGACGGCCGCCGCCGAAGCCGCCAGTGGGAGTACCAGTAGGACGTCCACTGTGGTGACCGTGGCCAGCTCCGGGAGTGCCAGTAGGACGGCTGCCGCCGAAGCTGCCAGTGCCGGAAGGACGCTCACCACTGAAGTCACCAGTGGGTGTAGGGCGCTCGCTGTCGTCACCGCCAGACTCGTCGTCACTAGCGTTCTTGCCGCTGGATTCATCGTCATCGGGAGAGCCAGTAGGGAAGCTACCGCCGAAGCCACCGGTGGGAGTGCCAGTAGGACGTCCACTGTGGTGGCCGTGGCCAGCTCCAGGAGTGCCAGTAGGACGGCTGCCGCCGAAGCTACCAGTGCCGGAAGGACGCTCGCCACCGAAACCGCCAGAGGGGGTAGGGCGCTCGCCATCATCACCGCCCTCGGAGTCGTCCTCCTGACGGCGGGAGTAGTCGTCGGTGCCGCCAGTTGGGAAGCTACCAAAACCACCAGTAGGGGTGGGGAAGTCACCACCACCGGGGAATCCAGAGCCACTTGGGAAACCACCGCCGGGGAAGCCAGAGGGAGTAGGGAAGCCGCCCTCACCACCACCGGGGAAGCCACCGGTAGGGGTTGGGAAGTCACCGCCGCCGGGGAAACCACCAGTGGGGGTTGGCCAGTCTCCTCCGCTGGGGAAGGCAAATGAGCCTGAAGGAACGTCAAAGGGTTGGTCGTCATCGTTCGCGTATTTGTCGACAGATCTCTTTCCTTGAGGGGCAGCCCAGCCGCCCGAGGCAAAGAGCAGAGCAATAAGGTAAGCTTGGGTCCGGCCCATGATGACGGTTTTCGAGTCTATCGAAGTTGGTTGAAAAGAAAGAAGGTGAGTGGAAAGTGAATGTTCGACTTGCGAAACAAAGAGAGTGTGATGATGATGATGAGAGTGAGGGCCAAGATCGAAGCCAAGACTCTGATCTTTATACACAGATCAAGAACCCCTAAAGCTTGGCTTAAACGAAGTGCTTATCCCGGCTTGGCTTTTGGCGCCGGGTCCGAACCGCTCCACTCTCTCCAGACAACGGACAAGGGCTGGAGATGCTTGTTCCCCTTCGGTCGCGAGAGCTCCGTGATCACGGTTTGGGACTAAATTTCAGGAGGCCTGGGGCTTGAAACACTCGCAACTCCTCCGCAGCGAATCAGCGGCTCCGTCACCACTCCTGGAGGTTTAGCCCACCTGAATAAGGGGTTCCTGTCAAACATCAACTGTGAGAGTTTTGGCAACGATCAAGCCGCGTCAATGTGGGCCGATCGACATCGATTGCGCGTCCAGCGAAAAAACATGTTTTGGGCCCAATTTCGTAAAATTCTTTGGCGATTGTGCCTTCAGACGGAGGCATGCCTTCGAGACCTCAGCCCACATGGAGGTTTTGTTTCAGAATCACAGCGAGACGGTTTCATGAGTACGCCCAACGACGTTTGTTTGGCTCGCGAGCAACTCTCGAAGCTTGCAAGGGGCCAACGTGCACACGTTGTAGTACGAGGCTGGATATCGCGATATCACAGCCAATAATGATCTCACGAGCCCTCAGTATCAGTGATGGTCAAGTCTGAAGGGAGTCTTTCCGCGGTCTCCGAACCCACATCACCAGTGTAACACCAGTTTTGCATCTCAGCGTACTCTTCAGTCTCAGGAACGGGCATGGGCAGGCCGGAGCAAAGCAGGATGATGACGAGCGCCATCCTACACAATTAGCGAATTGACGCCATCGAGGTTCCATCGCTTCAATCCTCCCCAGGCTCTCAGGTTCACGAATGCTAAGAAATGAGATCGACAAGGCACAGGGGTGTCTCGCGCAATTTTATTCATCTGCCGAATAATCTTGTTCTTACAACGGGACGCATGGTCCGGAAGCGCAGACATGGCTCAAGCGCCATGCTTCGACAATATCAGATAGCCGACTATGACCGTGATTCTACCTGCATATTCTAGACCATTGATTATCATAACCACATCCTGCCACACGGCGAGAGTACCTCCGAAGAAAAGGGAAAATCTCAGACAGCTAACGCCCATCTCATACCTGCAGCGAGTAATGGGGATACGAATGCTTCCCCACTCTCGGAGCTGCAGAAGCAAGGGCAGGCCAACTTACACAGACCCAACGTTTAGGTAGGAGTGCTCGAGTCCTGAGGTCCACTGAGGGAACGAGTGCCCGGCTTGCGCTGATCCTTCAACGCTCTCCAAATTGACCTGGGAGCAGCCGCTCTGGGCGGTCTTGCCGCTGAACCGATCCTCCAGCCACTGGATATAGGTCAGTCGAGTAGCTGAGATAAGCGGCGTGTGGCCGTACCCGTCCACGACCACGTAAGTAAGGTGGTTGTCCGGGCTGATCTGGCAGGTCGCTTCGACGCTCGCTGAGGTAATATCATGGGACACAAAAACGTCCTGAGTCCCCTGAACGACCATCAACGGACCAGCGAAATCCCTCCCCCCGGGATTCGCGAATCCCTCGAATGAGCGCGCGTGGTGCGACCCGTTGTACCACCCAGGCTTCAGGAAATCGCTAGCAGGGGAGTTGAGGAACAGCTGCTGTGCGACGGAGGAGGTTCCCTGGATCTCCCGTATCAGGTCAATCCTCGCGATGCCGGCCGGGGTGAACCACTGATCGAGCGAGAAGTCAGGGAAGATGCTGCCCAGGCGCATGCCGGCCATGACGGTAGCGAATGTCCCGACCTCCCAGGCCTTGGTGACGGGCGCCAGGGCGACCGTACCCACGTACCCTTTGATAGCGTCGCCGAGTTCCTTGGCGAGGGACCCGGCCTTGTTCTGGAGCTGGCCTACATACTCGGCTGTCGCCCACGCCACGCCTCCTCCCTGGCTGTGTCCCATGACGGCGAATTTCCCATCCAGGCGGCCCTTGAATGCCGTGCGGGCAGCCTGCAGACTAAAGATTGCGTCGCGCGCACCTGATGGTCCGGCAAAGTACTGATGGGGGATCTCTGAGCCGTCCCAGGACTGACCCACCCCAAGACCTGCGTAATCAGGGGCCACGATTGTGTAGCCGGCCTGGGCGAGCCAGAATGGCATCATATCTCCGTAGTACAGAGAGCGGTATGCAGAAGGGGCCGCATCGGCAAAGAAGCCCGAGGTGCCGTGAGTCCAGAGGATGACGGGGGCGAACGAGCCATTGGTCGCAGAGAATTTCCGAGACGCGAAGGGCCAGAGGACGAATGCGCTTGCTGGGACGACGGTGCCATTTAGAGTTTCGGTTGTATACAGGATACGGCTCAGGGTTGTTCCAGCGGAAATGGCGAACGGGAACGTGTCCGTCACTTCTTGGATCTTGAGCACCTCGCCAGGTTTCAACTGGGAAGCGTTGTGTATCCCGGGGAGTGTGTAGAAGTCGTCCTCTCTAGGTCCTCCGTTGGCCAAACCGGATCGGTCAGCATTGATTACCGTGTTGACTCTGAAGACGATATCGTCGGACAGGTTTGCGGCGGAAATCTGCTCGGGAGTGAGAGAGAAGGATGAGTTGTAGATGGTGTTGAGAAGTGCAACCGGAGCTGCTTGGCCTTGGACTTGAGAGGGCAGGTAGCTAAGAGATGCGAATAAAGCTAAGCCGAACAGCTTTGAAGCTGAGAAGTTTTCCATGTTGGGCAGTTGAATACTTGGATAATAGTCCAAGGTCTTGCATGTAACATGAGTCTGGTTAACTGGCTCACGGTACTGAGGGCTGGAGGCAAGATAAATAGGCCATCGTCAAAACATCTGCACTGCATGTGCCAGTTGAATTAATAATGTTCACCGCTTGGAAAATGACAAATGCTCGAGCGGTCGTGAATATCCAATACACATCAGATCCGTCTGTCAGATTGTCCGTCCGCAGTCCGCACGCCAAGAAGATCGTGCCTTCCCTTTCGCCTAGGCGAGCATGCGGGGACTATCCCAAAGTGGTTAGTGTCCGCACGTGCTCCCCACAGCCACGCGCAGTGAGTGCGGAAGGAGCGATGAGCCAAGCCGCGGATTTGCAGAGGCTCACGAAAGCCAAGAGATTTGCTGCTAAATCTCTATTTTCAGGCAATGCAAGGAATGCTACACGTGGGTCGTCGTAGGAGTATTATTCAGCAACAAGAAATTGATTTGATTTGCGGTTTTGGGTGGCATGGTGTTCGTACGCCATTTGCTAAGGTTCGCGATCCAAGACAGAACATCAACGTGATGACCTTTGCTGTGAACGTGGCATTATCAATGCATTCTTCAATCGGATTTGAACAAAATTTCGATTAGTTTTTCATCGCACTAGTAGAGCTAACAGTAAATTAAATTGACCAATCATGTCACCAATTGCAGGAAAAGGCAGAATAAGCACAACACAATCTGCGCGTGTAGGTCTAGGGTAGTGCTTAGAAATTCAACCTTGCATCTGCTTCGCCAGTCTCTGTCGTGCGCATTCCCGCTGATCCCGCTGAACCATCCAGCATCATGAGCAGAGCCTCAGGCCCCAAAGCATGCAAACCCTGCGCCGCCGCAAAGCGGAAGTGCGGGAGGCAGAAACCGCAGTGCCTTCGCTGCAGACGCCTCAATGTCCCGTGCACATACCCTCCATCAAAACCAAGTTCCTACGTCCTCATCCCCGATGACGAGGATGCTGTCACCATTGGGAGCGACAGTAGCGCGACGGCGGCGGCATCGCGGGAATCGCGGTCCTCCACGCTGGTGTCGACCCTGCCCCAGCCGCACAGATTTGACCCTGCCAGTTTTTCCCTGGCCCTGGACCTGCAGGACTCCCTCATCCACGATGACCCGGATCTCCGCGCCTCGGCGCCGCCCTCGTGGTTCAACAATATCCCGGACGGCCTTGGCGTGCTTCTCCCCATCCAGAAGCCGGACCTGGATGCATCCGCGTTTGACAACATGAAGTATCATCTGGGGATAGTCAACGAGTGGCTCACCCGCTGGGTGGACCGGGGGAGCAACCCATTCATCCATCCGCAGCTGTATAAACGACGGCTGCCCACGTGCGTGCAGGACGCGTACACCTCCGTGGCATCCTACCTGCGGAAGAACCAGGCAAACGAGCAGATGATATACCGGATAATTGAAGACAGAGTAAGGAGCTTAGTCGGGGGCCATCCAAAGGACCCGTCTGCGCTCGACCCGATTGAATCCCTCGGTCGCGTCCAGGCTTTGCTGATCTACCAGGTGATCGGGCTGTTTGACGGTGATCTCCGTCTGCGGCATGTAGCCGAGGGCTATATCCAGACGCTGTATGAATGGGCTGCCAACCTGGAGCCTCTTGCTCGGTATCCGCTGTGGCTGGGCGACCTGAATGGCACGTCGGGCACGCATGTGTCGACGACCGGCGTGTACGAGGCGTCGGACGTGGGCTCGTCGGCCGACGGCTCCTGGATGTCGTGGATCATCGCCGAGAGTATGAATCGGACATGGACGCTTGTATCCGGTATTCAGGGAGTGTACAAGATGATCCAGCTGTCTCAGAGCCGGCGCTGTTCCGTGGTGGGGATGATGTTGACCGCCCGCAGAGGATTGTGGGATGCGCCGTCGGCCCCTGCTTGGGATAGAATCTGTGCGGAGAGGTGTATTGGGTTCATATTTCTGTCAGAGGTCGAGACGTTATTTGCCAAGTTTGCGTATGATGAGGTGGATGAATTCACCATAATGACTCTGGGTATCATGTTCGGCATCGAGAGAATCGAAAGGTGGAGGCTGAGGCCGACCGTCTTTTAGCATGTTTGGGATCGGGTTCTGGTAGAATATGATGCTTGCTTTATCATTAAATTATATAGTGGTATCGGCATATAAAAAATGAAACCCATAACGCGCTCCCATGACTTGAACGGTTCATAAGCTCGTAGACATCCCGAATAAACGCTACCCAAACTCCAGACCATGATGCTCTTGACAACCCTAGCTCGAAAGTCCATTATGCGTCGCCTCAAGCACCAGCTCGATGTGCTGCATGCAGAACGCCTCCCTCTCTCGCGTGGCGAACAGCACGGCAAACTTTGCCACGTTCTTGATCTGCCTGCCGTTGAGCTCGATGGCTCGAAGTTTTGCAAAGTCGTCGTTTGACAAGGTGTTGGCTTGCCCGAGACTCCAGATGAGCTGCTTCCAGATGTTCTCCCTGAAACTGGCATTTAAGTCGGGGTAGTTGAGCCTGAGATTGATCCGGCTCTGCATCGCACTATCGATGGCTTCTGGGTGATTGGACGTCAAGAACATGAGGCCCTTGTAGAAGTCAAAGAGGCTGGAGTTTGTTAGAATCGACTGCCCAGAGATAGGTGGGAAGTACAAGGGAGGCAAGACTTACCGAAGTGCCACGCCGACGATGGCTCTGTCCTGGAGAAAGCCATCGCAATCTTCCAGCAGCAGGATGGCGTCCCATTTCTCCGAAAGCTCCAGCACCATCTGAAGCCTCTCCTCGACCGCCCTGGCGTTCTCACCCAGTTCTGCGGCACTCAGCCTGTAGAGCGGCCTGCGCGTGTGCTCTGCCACAGCCTCGACCGTGAAACTCTTGCCCGTCCCCGGACGCCCCGCCAGCAAGATGTTCAGCCCCAGGCCCCTGCTCTGCTCCAGCTCCTTGGTCTGGGGCATGTTGCCCTCCTGGCCGTGGACGAATGAGAGCATCAGAGTCTTGTACCCCTCCGGGAGCAGCAGAGTCGAGAACACTTCGTCGTCCCATTCGATGTCCTTGACGCTCTCCACCTCGAATTTCGCCCATCGGTTCAGCTCCAGGAAGAATCCATGGACGGTTGCGGAACACAGCATGAGCTGATCATCTGTGAGATCCTGACCTAGAAGATTCATGTAAGCATCGAACTACGTCTCACGGATTCTTCTGCCAAATTGGCTGTGCCTACTTTTTCTGTTCAGACTCCGTCTCGCCTTGATCTTGCTCGCCACCTTGTCGAATTGAATATCCCCCTCTAGCGCATTGATCATGGTCTGGGCCGAGATTGGGTCGGGACGGATGTGCTCGTAATCGCCTACGTCGATGTCCGGCATGATTGCTCCAGCCGTCAGCGCCACCAGCTCCGTGTCTTTTCGGGTCTCTCGCATGTAAGCCACCTTGTCTAGCACAATACGGCCCTTCATCTAATGGCGGCGTCGTTAGCGGATGAATATGTTTGTAATTTATGAAGGGGAAAAAAAAGACATACGCTTTTCGTTACTTTGCGTCGACCGACGGTGTATTTCACCAGGCCGTCGTACGCCTTGTGCTGGTGCCCCAGGCCGAGCGTCTGGAACTTCTTCCCGCGCGCGATGGCCTGCAGCTCAAGCTCCTTCTTGAGGGGATGGAACGAGGCGGGGAACACCTCGAGCTCGGCAATGTGCCGGGTTCCGGCGAACTTGTCCACCCGGAGCGTCTTGTTGGCGTACCCGAAGCTCGTGCCGTCCCAGTCGACGTACTTGGCGTGTATCTCCATGTGCGACTCCTTGTACTCGCAGTAGTTGATGACGAAGAACTCGTGCACGCCGTCCTTGGTCGAGACGGCGCGCTCGCCGGGCTGGAAGATGGCCCAGAGCCTGCGGTACGTGATGGACTTGCTGGCCAGCAGCAGCTCGACCTCGGTCATGTCCTTCTGCAGCTCCTCGAGCAGCAGGTCGTGCAGCAGCTGCGAGTACGTGGCCGGGGCGGGCTGCGGCGACCGCTGCTGGCGCTCGAGGATCTCGGTGAACCGGGCCCAGCGGAAGTAGAAGGGGTGGAAGGGCGCCTTGAAGACGAACTTCTTCATGGACGGCCTCATGCCCTTGTAGCCCTCGAAGACCTCGCGCACCGTCTGCTTGAGGCTCGCGTTCTGCACCACGACCGAGTCGAGCGACATGGTCCGGCCCTCGCTGTAGTTCTTGCGCATGCGCGCCACCAGCGCCTTGTTCTCCTCCTCGAGCGACGCGCCCGGGTCGACGGACCAGTTGCGGCAGCAGTGGCATGTCTGCGGCGCCTCGTACAGGGTCTGGATCAGGACCTGCGACGTCTCGGGCGCCTCGTCGATGGGCGGGCGACCGAAAAAACTCATCTTGGTGCCCCGCGGGAGCGGACTGAGAACCATTTATTACGTGTTCGGTTGTCGTGTGGTGTTTCTGTTCGGTCGCTGTGTGGATTGATGCTTTCTATTCGGTTTCTGTTGGTGATTTGACGATTACCCAGCAAAGAAGAACCGTCGGCGACAAGCAGGATCGTCTAGGGGAATATATATCATGCGAGCTGCATCTCCTTGGAGGAACGGGATGGTCGCATAAATTAAAAATATTGGAGACCGTCAGTCAACGCAACCACTTTAACTTGGAGCCCGGTCAGGGGCCCTTGGCGGCATTGGGCGCGTCAGCACACGCTCGTTGCTGTCACGAGCCGTGAGGATCCTTGCAGGCTGCTGCTGGGCGCCGTTTGTGAGAGGGAGGCAGCGTAAGCTGAGCATTTAGTGCTCCGCCAAGTCTGCTGGTGTGTACTGCCGGATGTCATATCCTTGCATTGCCATGATGTCAGTCGAACAGGGCCTCATTTCATTCAGGGCTAGAGCGAGAAGTGTCGCGTGTGTCTTCTCGGCAATTCATACCTCGCATGAACCGGTTGATATATGGCCTTCATGCCGAATCATCCCTTTGCCCACTACCATCGCCATGATCGAATGGTGACACTCTGTGCGGGTGCCCCTGTCAGAAGAGACGCTCCAGTTGCTATTTATAGAGCTGGCGGATGCACCACTATGACAGACTGTACGGAGCAAAACCAATCTTTCATGCCTGTCCACCTCTGTGACTGTTTCCGCGATGGATCAATCCATTGATGCCCGACAATATCTCGTGGATGTCTGTCGTGCCTTACCAATCTTCTCTTATACGAATCAAACAAACGGCAGGAATGTAGGCCTTCCTGGAGACTGAGGATATCCCATAAATCCAGCGCTGTCCCACTTGTTCTCACTGATGGCTCTCGGCAGTCAGACACAGGGTTAGAGGGCTCCTCGATCCGATCCCGGCCCTAGACCTGTCTGGGGCCATGTCTGGTGGCCTCTTTCGGTGCCTGATTGCCGAGTGTGGCACGAATTCTTGCCCATACTTCCTTGCCAACTTGCCAATCGATGCGGAAGCAGATTTGGGATGGTGTGAGGGCCGCACAGCTTCACGATTGGAGGTTGGAAACTTTGATTCCGCTTGAACATCTAATTTGAGGCAACATATCCGATGTGCTGGGATGAGGTTTTGTCTGCCATCACACGACTCTGAACAGGACGATGTAAAGCAGCATCACTTGTGTTCTTTATTTGCCTACTACTCTTATTGCCTGGACCCCGCCATTTCCACCGTATCGAGACATCGCGGTGGTCGGAAATACATAGTTACCAGGTCTCAGCGATCATTTCTTTCCGCTGCTACCGCTGCCGCCACTGCTGCCACTGGCGGGGGTGTAAGTAGAGCCGCCCGAACCATTGTTGTGATAGGTGCTGCCATCCGAGTTCGAGTAGTAGTAGGATCCATCACTACGCCGTTTAGCATCAGCTGCAGACCAGGCCTGGAAGACATGGAACTTACGTGTTCGAGTAGTGGTAAGCGTTCTGGTTGGAGGCGCCGGAGCCATAGTCACGGGCGCAGTAGTGATTGCCCTGGAGAGAGTTCATTCAGCATGTCGGGCTGGGCATTATACACACCAGCGCTGTGACTTACCTGTGAGTTGGTGCCGGAGCTCTTGTACTCGTAACCGGAAGGCATTTTGGAGGCTGGGGAAGTGTCGATTTCTGGTAGAGAGGTCGAAAGGATGGATGTGAATGAAAGGAGAAAAAGATGGATGCACAAGTCGGAAAGAGCAGTGCTTTTATACCTTCAACCTCTACCCCGACTTCCCTTTGCCCCTTATCTGGTAGATTTACCCCGCTTCACGTTGCTTTTTCTTGAATGTTGATAACGCCTTCATTGGCAGATAATGGTGTCACCAAAAGCCGCTGACGTAAATCAGGATAGTTCTCGCGCATCCTAATTCGCCCGTCAGGTGGCTAGAGACCTAAATTCTGCCTAATAATAAATAAATAGTACGAGCTTTCGAAAACATGGGCCGACAGCTGAGACAGCGCAAGTTCCGAGCGGAATCGGCCTTCTCACCGCTGTTCTTATGGACCTTGTCTGCTTTGTTCTGAATAGTCCTGTAAATTTGTTCAACTCTCGCCATTTGCCGAATGTCAGCTTTCTTTTTGCTCTGCTAACTTGGTCAATATGATATCACCTGAATCCGGCGTGACTTGATGCCTGGCTGCCTAGCCTCCATTGCGATAGTTGAAACTGATAGCACCTGTGACGCATCTACAATGAGCGACAGCTCTTTCATTGGTTTTCCATGATATAACGTTGAGCTGATATGATCTTGATGGTATTGTATGTCTCTCTTAGGTATGTTGAACTTGGACGGTCGCTTCGCCATTGGAAAAAAGAAACGGATTCTACGTCTATCCCCAAGTCATAATATTTAAACGCCCTATGTCTACTCGTACTCGTGCCATCCTTCAATCGAACCCTTGGTTTCCAATCCAAGCGCCCAGCGGATGAGGTCAGCAGTGACGTCGTCGCTCTGCTTCGAAAATGGCAAATCTACCCAACGTCTGAATCCATGAGGAACCCCGGTGAATATATGAACGCTCGTAGAAGTCCTATTCAAGAGCACATTCAGGTTAGTATGCCTATGAGTAACGCACGACGAGGGAACTGTGCGAGAGACAAGAGAACCTACTTCAAAACTTCCAGTCGCTTGGCGAAGATCAAACCATCGTCTCTCAACGGATCCATTCCGGCTATGACGAACCCTGTCTTTGGCCACCCTTCCAACTCGGAGTCTGGGCGAAGGGCTGCACTGATTCTCGGGTCTGCACTATCCTCCATCTTCAGTAAATTGACGAACAGCTGCAGCCTGGGCCATGGAAGCACGGGGGCATCACGGCACTGCCGACTAGACGCCTTCTCAGGTGATTCCATTAGGTCCAACGGGGTATGATCGCCGTGAATAAGCCACGGGATAGAGAGAACTGCCCCGGAAACCAGGCGCCTGTGAGATGGGTCTGCCTTTGCGCGCGACACGTCGTGCTGGACAAATTCCGCGGCGAGATTGGCCCCGGCCGAGATACCCAAGACTGCCAGCTGTCCAGATGGGGCAGCGATGCCGTATAAAGCAGAGTTCTCGCTGATATGGTTGTACACGTCCAGGGCATCATCGTGAGCCACAGGGAAGACGTGCTGCGGCGTATGGCTGTAATTGACGCTATAGACTGAGATTCCTGCCTCAAGGGCGAATTTGGCGCAAAGAGGATCTTCCGAGGTCTCTGTGCCAAAAAGGAATCCGCCGCCATGGAAGTAAATGAGCGAACGCTGATTTCCAGTGCCTTCATCCTCTGCATCTTGCTTGGGAGTATATCGCCGTACAGGGATTGAATGCCCATGCCTCGACGGCAGGAAAGTTGTTGAGATGTGCAGCCGAGATTCTAAGCCCGATTCTGCAAAGATTTTGGCGCTGGCTTTCTCTCGCATTGCGTTGACCGTTTGCTGAAGCTCCAACGCAGTTGAGAGGTCATTTCCACTTGAGCCTTCTTCGGCAGCCCTGGGGTTTGCCGCAACAAACGCGAGCCACTGAGGGCTTGGGTGTCCGTATTTTGAGAAATCCATCGAGGTTCTTTGATCTAAGAAGAGGTTGAAGTTCCGTGCTAAAACAGAAATATTTCAGATCGATGTGTCAAATTGGCAGCTCTCAGATCGAGGTTGACAATGCTGCATGAGACAAAAGGAATAAGTAATGGTACCATCTGGATCCTCGGTATATTAAAGTGCCTCAAACGGTCTTGACCTGGAACCCCTCTTTTCGCATCGTGTTAGGCCCTGTGTGGGATGAAGCTAATCGGACATTAATGTCCGCGGAGGATCTCCCGGATCAGAAGACCACCGCAACTTGCCGAGGAACTTTATTGTACCTATCATATCTTCTACGTAAGATAAAAGCAGAAATTATTCTGCAGGCGCCCCCGGCGGGTATTTCTACGCGTGAATAGTATTTATCTCAAGGTCTAATGATAATTCATTTTGGTGGAAAACAGGGCGGATGTATACACAACGCCTACTCTATGAACGAGCGCACCTACCACCCACGATCTCTAAAGTCTGGCCCGTTCTGAAGGCGTCTTCTTGGACTGACCAATAACTCTGAAAAATGTCTCTTCGACATCATGTTCTGAGAGCCAGTTCGTGTCCGGCCTTCCCTTTACCTTGGTCTGTAGGCTCTTCTCGGCATCCTCATCTGACGAATACACTGGCTTCTTCGCTTTAAACTGCCCGTGGACAACCTCTAGGAGTCGAGTAGTGTGAGGTCTTCGCACACTGTCGTATAGCTGGATCGCTTGCTTAATTGCCGACGCGCCTATGGGTCCTGGCGAGCTGATCTGTGGTGAAATAACGTGCTTGAAGGCCAATGCCAGGGCGAGGGAATCATCCAGCGCCAACGACCCTCCAGCAGCAAAAGAGCCGCCGTGGGTGTGGGCAGCATCTCCGACCAGTGTGGCGCGGTCTGATATCACCCAAGAAGGGAGCGCGTCACCCACATAGTTGGGATAGAGCCGGATGTATGGTGTAAGCTCCGACAACGCCTTGACTGTCGGGTTCCAGTTCTGCGAAGCTCGGGGTTAGTCAAGCCTGAGTATTTGTGTATTGGTGGCAGTTCCTACTTTGTATTTCTCCTTGAACCAACTGACATCATCTGCCTGGTTCCAGGCAACTGCCTTGTCGATTTCTTCGGTGCTTCTGGGGTCATCAAATGACCCGACAGTCGTAAACTGACCCTTTCCTATGCCGAATAATTAGTCTGAATGAATTTGAAAGATACTCTCAGCGGCGTCGGCGACATACCAAGCTTTGAAGCAAAGAAATGATCGTTTAGACCCCACTATTGCAGCATCATTAGTTAGTTTAGACTCTGGAAGTAGTACCAGTGTTGCTGATGAGATATTACCCAATGAATGGCGTCCTCGGGCAGATCTGGCACCTTGCCTTCGAGGATGGATGCATCGAAAGTGGCGCGAGCAAATGTCTTCCCACTGTATTTTAGTTTGTGCTCTGGAACAAAGGCCTGCCTGACTTTCTACAACTGAATTAGCGACATCCGTCGAGATAGATACTCAGAACAAACCGATTTGATGCCATCGGCGCCAATGAGAACGTGGCCTCGCGCCTTTGTCCCATCCTCGAAAAAGAGAGTAACGCCGTCGGCATCGGACTTTGCACCGACAGTCTTCTTCCCCAAATGGATGTTACTTGACGGTACGTGCTTCAACAGGGCTGCGTGGATGTGGCCGCGATGAAACCGGGTTGTATGGTGTCGAGGATCCGAGACGCTGGTGTATGTGTCTACGGATACGACCTGGTTTGATTTCCAGTGGCTTCAAACGGAGTTTAGCATAGGTAGGATACCAACGGGCCTTGATAGACATTGAATGGCGGATAGGGAATACCGTATGATTTGGGGAATCCCGCTTGTGCCTCTGAACCCAGCGTCGTCATCAAAGGCATTGGTCACACCAAGCTTTTCCAAGGTTCTCATGCCCTGTTTCACTGTTGTAAGTCTCGAACAACACATGGAGAAGATTGCGAACAAGCTCTTTCAAGATTGTTCTGCACTTACATTAGGGCTCAAGGCGATGCTTGCTCCGATCTCGAGAAGCTCGTCGGCTTGCTCGTAGAGCTGGATGTCCAGATTCGGGATGCCGGAAATGCGAGAAAGCGCCACGGCGGTTGCCAGACCTCCAATGCCAGCCCCGGCAATCAGCACACGGAAGGGTTCCTGGGCGTTATTATCAGCCATGTTGTATCGCGAGGCGTTGGAGTGTGTGTCGTGGTTGGTCGGTCGGCCGGTCACACAGTGTGTCAGAGCAGAACACCGTCCTGCCCTTATAGAATCAGACGCATTGCCGGATCCAGGGCCGACCTCGCTCGCCGATGCTTGGCTGAACCAATAGCAGAGCGACTGTCGCCAGTCTCGGGACGGCGCTGGTGTGTGATTGGCTTGGTGTTGAGCACGTCACCATCACGCAACCGCATTTGTCACCAAACATCAGCTTCCTCCGCCCCGGCATCGAGTGTCCGGCCCCGTCTCGTCTCTTGACCCATTCTCAAGACTCGAATTGGCCGTCAGAAACCGGTGGCAGACGCCGACATCAGCCCACAATTGACGGGTAGTCGGCCTTTGTGCGACATGGCGACAAACATGGGTTCAATTGCGCTATCAACAAACCCACGCTACAGTCGGATCCTTATAAAGACCGCAGGTCTAGCCACGCCCATGTGAAAGTTTGCCATGAGAATGTTCCAAGTGACACTGCAGAGAGGTTTACGACCGTGTGTGTTGGACCTAATTGGGATTGAATGATACAACAAGCGGAGCTTCGTCGGCAACAGACTATCCCATCGTGATGGCTTCTTCCCGAAATTCCCGACCGACTCATGACAAAGAAATGCTCAGGAGCTGAAAATCGAAGGAAAACAACGTCCTGTTATGGGAACCGAGATTTCATGCGAGCCCGGAAATCAGCACCGCGGAAAGGACAATTGAGCCCCCAGAATCCTGTTACCTATCGATTTGTTCGGTCTTGTGTTCAAGGTATCGATGTCTCGACGCCGCGCAAGAAAGGCTTTCCGATACTATAGCTAGTTTGAGATTACTACAGCATCCCAGAACTTATTACCGCTATTCTGGTGGTGATGGGTTAATCTGAGAACGCAGAGTATGATGAAAGAGACATTTTATCAGGGGTGAAAGATTCGCGAATAATACCTCAAGCCTTCCCGCTCGTGGTATTATTTACTCGCTGCTTCAAGAATCTTACCGTTCTTGTTCCAGGTTGGCCAGGCGACACACGGCTGCCTTCATCTTCGAAACTGTCGCTGTCGGCTGGCCGAGGCAATAGGCTCCGCGAACGGCAACCAAGCCCCAAGGACCATGCCGACAATTACGAGTAGGGTTTTACATATAGGAACGGTATTTGCACAATCAATGCGAGCTGAAGTGCTTCATGAACATGAAACTTGAGACTTGGTCCTTGTATACCAATATTGTCATGTGTATTCTGAAGAATTTCTAGAGATCCTAGACCACTTGTCATTTGATACGATGATTTAGATTACCTGGACAGCATTTCTAGATAGGAGAGTAATAAGAGAATCTTGTGACAGTAAGTGAGAGCAAAAGATATATTATCCGGTAGTTCTACCATATCGCTTTTGAATGAGAATCATTACTATTGCTGTTGATAGTGGCGGGACCGGAATATCTCGAAAGAAATCCTTGCGGGCATGTCTCGACTTTTCCCACCTTGTTCGCTTCCCTAGTTCTAGATAATTTTAGTAGCATCCTATCTATTGAACCCTTGAATCTAGAAAGACCCTGCCAAGAATCAGCTCTCTTGGCAAGCTGGTAGGAAACTTCTTGGCAGGGGAGTTGCGGGGAAGTTGCAGCTTGGCGATCCATGACACATGTCTGATCGACTTCAGGGAGGCGTACGCTGTTCATATCTGGACCCGGAAGTAATATATAATCCCCCCGGATTTTCATAGATCGTCTTGTGACGCAAGCAATCTATATGTGAGTTGCAATTCTTTCATAACCTGTCCTTCCCTGAGAACTAGCCCTGATAGTGTTGTTGACGGCACTTTCAAGTCATAGTTTGTCCAAAGGCTTTCCTCACTAGCAGGAAGGGAAGTGTTTATGAATATAAAGAATGAAATCAAACAATGACGGTTTATTCAATTCCGTCAATCATGCGATCTATTATAATAAAAGGGATATTACGGACGCTATAATCGCTTGTCTTCTCAAACCAGCACATGACTAGCTATCCAGTCCGCCAACGTTGGGTATCAACAAACCACTCGAAACAATGCAATTAGAGACCATTGCTCTTGCATGTAAAAACTCCACCGACGGTGCCTGCCTCGAACTGGTCGATGATACCTTGCACACTGACATAGGTACCGAGAGTGAGGAACAGAACGCCGATCAAAACGAGAATGGTGTTGAAGACCACGGACACATAATCCAGGATGCGGTTTCGCTCGAGGCCGGCCTTCTGGTCGGCATTGCGCATGCGGAAGTAGGCGAGGGCCCAGAAAATGAAGCCGAACCAGCAGTTGAAGAGGGAGGACATGACGGAAAGAACTATTTGAGAGTTAGCTATATTCAGAGCAAGCGAATCCAATGAAGGGTAATTTTTCCACGTACGGGAGGAGAAGAATGGAATGACCTCCGCGATGATGAACGAGGCGATCCAGCTGATAAGCAAGACGCCTCCCCAGTAGAGCCAACCCTTGATGGTGTGTTCTGTGAGGTGCTTCGAGTCCTGGAACATGCGGAAGAAGACGAAGCGTCCAGAGACGGAAGCATACAGACATCCCACGAAAATGATGGTGGGGACCATGAAGGAGTATGAAACCTTCTTGTAGGTGTCGGTCAGAACACCAAAAGCAGGAGCAGTCATGTACTGCTCCCCAGTGTAAACGTAGATGATGGAACCGACGATGGAAAATGTGATGATTTCAGCAATGGTGCAAGCCCAAAGAGCCTTGGGAAAATCACTATAACATTCGTCAGTGCCTGGAATTAACTAGGAGATTATGAAGAGTAAGAACATACCGAGGCTCACGCATCTCTGCGATGAAACTGGGGAGGGTGGTCTGGCCAATGAAGGTGTAGCTCATGTTCATAAAGGCCGACATGCCCGAAACAAGAGTCGTAGTGCTCGGTGTCCAAACAGACCAGACGGGTTCACCCAACGAAGGGTAGCCGGCGGGCTTTCCCTGGACACCGGAAAAAACAGTGGCCAGGAAAACGGAGATGAACGTGAAGAAGGCGGATCCGAAGCCCAGCTTGGACAGCATCTCGAAGGTTCGGGGCAGGGAGCCGAGCCAGCTCAGGGCGGTGACGACAACCGCGAAAGCGACCGTTCGGCATGCGTGAATCGTATCGGCTTCGGTCATGGTGTTCAGGTACATGGCTCCCACAAGGACGTGGAGGGCTTGGATGAAGGTGTTGTTGAGCAAGAACATGGATGCAGTCCACCACCAAGCCCAACGCTTGTTCCACCAAAGCATCTGACCGATATCACTGACATCCTTGACCTCGGGATGTCTCAGACAGAACTCCCACACAATGAGACTAGTGTAGAGCACCAGGCCGGCACACACGACGGTGAGGATAAGGCCGGGGACGAGACCGAGCAGCGAGTAGCTCCATGGGAACGACATGATGGAGAGCACGATGTATTCGCTGAACAGTAATCCGGCCGTCTTCTGCCAGCTGCAGGTTCTGTACTGAATGCCATTTCCTTCTTCCGAAGCAAGCTGCTTCCCCACGATGTCATTGGCGGAGTCGGATTCGATCTCGGCGGCGTTCTTGAGCAAATGGGTCGCGACAGGCTCAATACGGGGACCAATTAGGACATTTGGGCCGCCGAAAGCAGAGGAGAACCAACTGCCGGAGGGCTGGGGTCTAACCGGCTCGAACGAAGGGTCCTCCGACTCGAGGGGGGATTTGGAGTCTGCCATGGTAAGATTTGATGCGAGCGCAGGCCCCGACGATTTTACCGTGCGATTGAATAACAAAAGGACGGTGTAGACAGGAAAACTCGACAAACTTTCACAAGCCCGAGCCTAAAGTAAAAGTAAACGTTGAGCAACCGCGACTTCTTATAAGACCAGCGATCGCTTCCAGAAGCGGGTAGTGATTGCCACTGCAGAAGGTTCATCCCACGCGTCGATTCAGGAAGACCCGCCGTGGAAACAGTGGTTACATGGCAGGATCCACGGAGAACGCGTACATAAGGTGTTGGATTGCCGCCTGGGCATGCAGCCTTGTGTGCTCTGCCCTTCCTCCAGGCCGCTCCATTGCGTGCGTGCTGCCGTGGCTCGCAGTCCCCGATTGCGCAATCGACCCTCTCCCCTCGCAAGGAGCCGAGCTGATCTGGGGATGTTTGATGATGTCGAACCACTAACTGGGAGAAAGCTCTGCTGGTTGGGATTTCCATCCATCGTCAGCGTTGGTCAGAGAAATTCTGATTGGATCGCCATGGCCGAGATGGAAACGGGTAGTGGGGAGAGTCATGGGCCGGGTCCTTAATTAGATTCGCCTCGGGCCTTGATGCTGGCCATGGCGTGCTTGCAGGAGCTGCAGCGAGCTCTCGTTTTGGGCATGGCAAAGATCGATCTCCATGTTGCAGTATCAACTAGACAGGAGACTCTACGCCAAGGCAGGGTGGCCGTTGTCCCGAAGTGCAACACGCTACGTTAATTACTTGACTGAAAATAGATCATCAGATCAGCGGCTTCTCTTTGTTCTGGCTCAGCTTGACACATAGAAACGTCCCGCATCGGCCTTAGCGAAGTGGCTGCATGGCGTTCCGTTCGTATGTACTCTATAAGTCGTCTTCAACATCAGATGCGGTGACACCTTGCGCAGCATCGCCCTTGCTCCATATAGCAATTTCTATGAAAATCTCTGAGAGAATTGGTCACGGAATTTAGCGGAAGACGGCACGTTTTGTCTGAGAGAGCATTGCCAGTTGCACTCAGCGCAGCCATTCGAGTTTCACAGGAGTCAACAGGGTTTTCCAGTACGCCATCGATACCTGCAATCACGCAATCGAGAACCCGGATCTGTCGGCAATCATGGTGTGAAGAAATGCTCCACTTCCAGGCTTTTGGGGAATGCTCTCCGTGCATAATACTGCATAATAAATCTTAGCTCGCGGTCTGCTCTCCATAAACTCCCCGCTGTCCAGCCATCGGGCGAACTTTCCCTTGGCTCAGGTTGTGTGCCATGTTCAATATTCCCGATGGGCATAGTGGAATTGGAAATAAGTTTTTAAGCTTGGTTCCAGTAAACTCGGCTTGCATCCGATCCTTCGAAAGAGCAGCGCGCGGGTTTCAGCCAGAACCCACATGGTCAAGATGACTGGCAAGCCTGGCATTGTCACATCGTCTTTTCAATCTATTGATTTCTGAGCCCCCGTTCATACAGAGAAAAATCTTCGATCTCATGACCAGAAGAGCTCTTCGTCGTGGTCCTCATTTCTGGTCAGCCTTGAGCCCTTTTCCATCAAGTTGCTTTCAAGTCACCGCCCTACATCAATGATACAAAGGGACCTCGCTAGCAGGAAGCTTAACGGACTGACGTCGGCGTGGCTGGATCGGAGGCTAAGCTGTTAGTAAAAGGGTTTAGTGTTTCTCCTGCTTGAGGCCGATCTGCTCGTGGCGTTGACTTAGTGTGCCACTTCCCTGACTCAAATCCACTTGCACAGGCGAAGTACAAACGAAAAAGGAAGTTGAAATACAAGTCACTGGGCTGGGGAGCGCAAGGTGTAGACCGGGGTGTGCGAGAGGCCTCCACTTCGTCGTGCAGTCATCCAACTTCACATGGGCTAATTTCGACAATCACTTTGTAGATACAAAGAGCACGCTTGCTCACCACAAAAGATTACTATGCAGATTCTTGCTCAAACTCTTAGATTTATAGCTTCATCATTGAGTAATCACGAGATGAAGCAAGCCTGCGATAGGTATGAATCTTGTAACAACCGGCATGCTCTTGTCCGCTGTTGGAATTCCGGACATGCCTAATGACGCTTGCTTTCAGCGCAGGGCAAACCTGCTATGCTTCAGCTTCAGTGTCACTAATCTGCATGCACCGCTGTCCCTCATCCATCCGTTCTTCGTCCGGTCAGGCAAGGCCACTAGGAGTAGAGACAGGTCTTAAGAACCGTCACGCGATCGCTTTCAGTCGCAGCTATTATGAAGATAGTTATTCATTGTGTTGAGATGTCGGGTCCGGCATCTTCATTGCTGTTTTTTACTTTGTACTCGAACTCTCTCGTCCGTATTATAAAGAGGGCGAATGCATTTGACGTAACAACTGCAGCTGCTGGAAATCTTGGCCAACTCCATCTCAAATTTATACACACTTCCTCCCTCCAGGCAAAACCTAGAACATGCTGTGCCGATCACAGGCTCTACCGAGTTAGAGTCAATCTTTTTTCAATTGAGAATACCGATCTTGTCAAATAGGGAGTTGGTGAGCACTTGCCTGTCGGTCATTGCGTTGCGTCTATTATTTTACACCCAACCGTTTTGGAGGTGCTAAAACTGGGTTGGTGATAATCCTATCGCGTCTCTATATTGCGCTCTAGAGCCACAGACGTCCGTACCTGTCCCATTTTGAGTTTCCCCTCCCTCTCCCTCACATTCCTATCCCCAACACGAATGGCTAAGCAACAACCAAGCCATCAGGGTACTCCCAAGAGGGGAACTGTGATTACTCGTTCTGGTTTTATTTTGTCTGATATATGAACGAGAGACATGCTTACGCTCCCCAAAGGTTATTACACCACGTATAACACAGCGACTCAACCCTCCAAGGTTGTTTACCAGAAGAACAAGACCTGATGGCCTGGTTGTGAAATCAACAAATGATGGTTCTGGATTGTTGCGGGCTAGAAGATACTCTAACAGTGTTGAACTGAGACCTGGAAATTGGCTGTTGTTTTTTGTTCGGCACCAGCCATGCTCGTTCTGGATCCCCATCTAAATCTCAACCTCGCAGTTGCTAATCTGCCAATATACTCAATGGACGACCCTTTTACTCCAGGAACATAGAGACGTTCCAAGCTAGCGCTGATGGTGGCCAGGTTATCTGCCACAATTTGGGCCAACGCGGTCACCTTGTCCAGACTATATCCCATCGAGGCGAGGGCGCCAGTGATGCTTGAGGGCTACTCAAAGCGTGTAGGGATGGGATATAAAAAGCGCGGAATACTTATCATTATAGGTGAGGCCCAGACTAATATAGGTCACACTGGCCAAATGTTCGCCTTTAAGGAAGATGGCTTGGTCTCCTTTAGCCTCAGTCACTACGACAGCTGAGATCGAGAGCGGTTGTAAACAAGCTGCCACCGTCGAAGACGAGGTGCTAGAAAATATGGGGTGGCTGAAGAGCCTAGTGCGTAACTCCATAATAGTCTCCTTAGGCTTTAGGAGATGTACTGGTGCATTGGCGAGGTCTGCGGCTATTAAGATGATTTCCAACGCCGAACACAAGCTCCTAGCTCTAGCCTTAGACAAGCTATTTCGAACCGAGCTCTAAAGCTTGGCATATCCTATAATATTGTTGACTTGCTATGAATAGAGGTGTGTTCCGCTTAGCGCCTCTAGTAAACGTAACAGGCGAGGAGATTGACGCGGGACTATTTCTGCTTGACCAGGCATTCCAATAAGTTCTGAAAGAGTGTGGACTATTCAGCAAGCTCAAGTAAGGAAAAACCAGACATCAAGATTGTCGATTCACTTCGATATGGGTGTAGAATCCACGTAATTTAGAAAGGTGATGAACTAAAGATACTTTAGTGGTCTATTCTTCGATAATAAACATATTCTCTTCGGTCCCGCCCAAGTAACCGTAAAACCTCATGGCCAACCGAACTCTCGTCCATCTTGGGACTCTGTGTCGATCGCTCCTGATCCAGACACAACTGCAAATAATACCGCCTGCTGTCCTTCATAAATCTGGAAATGAGCCTTGGTACTGATCAAAACTAGGAAACTATGCACTTACTGATGAACAGCTATGCTCAGGAATTCACGCCAAATTGGCAGCCGTGGCGCTCAATGCCAAGAATTTTGGAGGGATTCTTTTTTGATCATCTCATATTTGTGCATTTCGGCAAGGTGGCTTTGATGAATTGTAACTCGGAGGTTGGTTGTTTGATCTTGAGGCTTCAAGATGATGGTTGGTGAAGAATTGACCAAAGTTGTCGAAACAAATGAATGTTGTCCCAGGGTACCGATTACGGCCTGGCTCCATCCCTATGAAAGGTATATGGTGGCGGCTGCAGTTCACACGGCGGGAGAGTCGTGCCAGCAACTCTGCCTTGCCCTCCAGATGATGCTTCCAGCATTGTGTGCCTATCGCGCCGACGCGGTACACTCATCACAACTCCCCAACAACAGCAAACACAGCATGGAAGCAAGGATAGAAAAATAAGAGCACCAACTATTGCCAGTATCCACCGGAAGGAAAGTTCCCCGGTCATTATGCCGTGTATGAGTGTACTGTTGAAGTCACGGTCAAGACTCAATAGAATTGTCCGCCAGTAAGTGAGGAAAATGTGCAACCGAAAAATGAATGAGAGAGTATACTCTAGCAGAGAAAGACGGTCTGGATGGCGCGGACTCTCAGACTTTATACCAACCCAACATTATTCCATCATTTCTAGTCCATTAGTATGTCTTGTTATTGAACTCTGTCATACCGTCTAGCGAAATTTTATATCCAGTTCTACTGACAGTGGCGCGCCACTGTCTTGCCGAATAGACTCGCGACTCCTCAGGTCTAGAATTTGATTTTCACAGTGCCTCGGCCTCGACTAATAAAAAGAGCGGGTTGGAATAAATTGGCTTCATTTGCCACACTCAAGTTTCTACAATTCAAAGTTATCAAGTCATATGAGCATTAGAGTCATATCAACAAAACAGCCTTTGGTGGCTCTGAAGTTTGACCACGGCTGTCTCCAGTGACCTTCCATTATTAGACGACAATGAGAAGACTCTAAATTTAAGCATCAGGGTTTCTAGTTAGGAGGAATTATGTTTTTGATGTCTGGGATGGGGTTAAAATCACATCCATGGAGGTTCCTAATGTGCTATACCAGGTCTACTTTTGTGATAGCGTCTCACTGTATGTTCGAGCATTGAAACGACATAATATATACATCTCATTTTGGTTCCCCTTATTGAAGGGCAACACTATATACATTTAACCCAAGATAATTTACTGGCCACCGATGTAGACGGTGAGAAGGTTAGGCGAGCCATGAGAAACAGAGCCCTCGGCATTCTCGCTTCCGTTGGGGTTGACATCATCATAAGGGAAGGCGTATCCCTTGCCGTCAATCTCGTACTTGTGCACGAGGCGGCCGTAGTGATTCGATGGGTTCACAGTGTAGTAGGTGCTCTGCGGGAGACTTGGCTGGACGTTGCCGCCCGCCAGGAGAAGAGTGCTACGGACGAAAGCAGAGCAGAGGCGGGGGATGACGCGAATGTGCTGCTCGTTGTCGCCCGCCTGCCTGCCAAAGGGACCGCTGTTGCAGCCCCAGATATCGATAGCAGTGGGCTTGGGGTAGGCTCGGTTGTCACCGCCATTGCAGGTCATTTGGTTACCGGACACACGGCAGTTGAGGTTTCCGAATCCGCTCTGGGTATCAATAACCAGATTCTCGTTGCTGTATTTGCTCCAGACCTGGTTAATGTAGTTATCCCAGTACCTGCCGAACCCGTTGGGGTGGGTCACGGAATACGAGTTGGGGGAGACGACTCGGATGAGGCCGGCAGAGTTGGACTGGCAAAGGGCAGCCCAGGGGGCTCCATCCTGGGCCTGCTGGGCCGACAGGTCGCTGCAAGCAGAGTTGATGGAGTTGGCCTTGAGACCGTATGCAGTCTGGGCGGAACCACCGTTGACATCGAGTTTCATTCCAAGGGGGAGACCCATGAAGTCCACGTAGCTAATGTTAGCAAACAGGCTACCATCAGTGTTGAGTGTAAGCTCGACAAATCCCCAGTTGAGGCTGGCACTGGGGTCTGTGGGGTTCTTCTCATCGGGCTGGACCAGGCCTTCTCCGATATCAGTCTTGACAACACCAAAGTTCAAGTCGCCAACAGAGAAGTAGATGCGTGTCGAGTGCATGGCAATGGGGATTCTCATGGTAGCTACTTGGCCGGCGGCGACGGGAATCTTGACGTTTGTGGTGATGGGGACAGGGACGGCTGAGCCGCCCGAGCTTGGGTAAACAAGGCTACCATCCTGACGGACAAATACAACGGCCTCATTAGAGTCATATCCGACTACATAGGCATTGACAGCGCTGCCAAAGTTGTTGGTAAACTGCAGAGGGAGTGTGGCGGCAACAGCATTGACTGCTTGGATGGATTGCTGGTCCTGTTCGGTGGGAGGGCGAGTGATGAGCTCGTCTCCGGTGTGGGTGCCGTTCAAAGTGTTGTCTTTAGTGATCACAACCTCCGTGATGTCAACTGGAGCCACTTGTGTGTAGCCGTTGTTGTCTCGGATCAGGTTCTTTGTGATGTCGATGCTGACGGGCTTGGCAGAAGCAGTGGCTGTGAAGCCCACCAAAGCCGACAGAAGCGTGGAGAACCGCATGGTAGATTCTACAGAATGTGGACTGTAGGAAGGATTGACTATGGTCCAACAAGAGGGTCAAGGAATGTGTCCTGTTGATGCGGGTTGAGAGATGGGAAACTCTCGAGGAGGGCTCGGTATTTTAATACCAGTGTCTGACAAAATGAAATCATTCTACATTCTCCCATCCCATGATAGCGTTTCATTCGAGCCGAATTCATCATTGCCTTACCCAAGAAGCCCCCGCCTAGCATAAACACCTGACCCGTCAATCTGATTGAGATTCCTGATAGAGCAATGTGACGTTACTAGGGTTAATGGAAAGCTGACGTTGGTGGCCAATGGATAAACCCTCAAATCTCGAACCAGGATGTAAGCAGGCCATGGAAAGTGACCGCTATGTGAGACTCCGGAGCAGTAATGGTAGGTCAGCCTTATACGCTGAACAGAAACCCAGATTGGTCGAGGACTGGTATTGCGTGTGGTCGAACCTGGTTCTCATTGGCCGTGGCAGCCTTGACAGGAATAAAGTGGAAGGTGATCAGGTACACCCTCGTGGCCTCCTAGACAAACTAGGAAAGTGACTTTCAATGGCATGATGGGGGTCACACCAGTTCCATCTATGCACCCCACCCTGGCAATGGGCGAATAATAGAAGGGAGCGTTGACCTTTTCAGGCAGTTCGGAGATATCGCGGGCGATCCAAGCTGGTTCATCCCATAACCCCTGAATCTCTCTATGGTTGTGTTAGTCCTTAAAGGAAGAGTTTTGAAACAAGAATAAGTAAGCGGCAGAAGAAGTGCGGGGATAGCGCATAACCCGTGGCCTCAAGGGTCACAGCTATCCCGCGCGGCACATCATGAACGAGGGGCATGCTACCCTGATCATCATGCTAGCCCTCGTAGATCATACGACGTGGCCGGAAACCCATGGTACTTATAAGGTAACTCAAAGAAAAACACCAACAAACAAATGATGAACCAACAAACAAGAGATGATAAGTTTCGACCAGTCCGGCCAGTCCGGCTAAGCCTCTAGGCGGAGACCCGGAGTCTGACTCAGGATACAGCTCGTGAAAGGAGAGTGGTGTCATGTCCTAACACTCCCCTTTTACAGCATTGTCCCTAGACTGAGGATGGAAATAAGTCCAGGAAAACTCCCCTGTTATGACATGATCATTTGATATGATTCAACCCGAATAGGAATTCAGCAACAAGCTGAGTTTGGAATCTCTAATAATCGCGGCCACGGAGTTTAGGCCATGATCAACAACTGCCCCTGGTCACTGATCTGGCCCCCAATGATCACACGTGCAGTTTCGACTTCGGCCCATCTAGGAGCGCTACTTTTGGCTCGCGCCCAAAGTTGACCATCATGCATATCCCATCAGTGTGGACGGAACCAGCTTCCCCAGACTAACCGCCAAGGATAGGGTCGGCCCGATATCGTACAAGGACCTATCACACAGAAGGATTCCTTCGTCACATTATTACCTGCATATGTACAAGCCGCGGGCAGATGTTGTCCTTGAATAAACCCCTTGTTTACCAGTCGGATACAAATGCCGTCACCAATCCACACATCTGATATAGCCACAATGGCAACCCTCGGCAGAATTTTCCTGTCTCCAATTCCAGAAAGCCGCCGATTGGAGATGAGCATGTTACCCGCAGTGGATTAAGTGCAAGTAGGCTGCACATCGGATGTCAAGGGCCCGGGTAGAGCGCGTGTGTTGGCAAGTCTACTGGGTCACCCTCAACTTGCTCATAACGGCACATTTCTCCTGTCAACCATAACTCCTTTCTACAACGTAACATGGCCTTGATTTGAGCTTCACGGGCCGGTGTACTACTATCATATTGGAAAATATGGCAAGGAGACTGGACTGTGACATGACGTCTTCATGAATGCTTGATAAACCTAACTGAAACATCGATAAGCATTTGAAAGAGAGGGCAGCTTGTGCACAATTTATTTTTCTCTGTATCTCCTGTGCTCTCATTACCATATTCCATTTGCTTTGCATTATCGAATGCAATGAATTCGGGAAGTTTCACACCAGACCCGCCTCCCTCTTCTATGCAATCTATGAAAGAAAACAGCTAGAATAACCCAAACAACTAGAAAGGAACCATTTTTGAGCCAGATACGACTTGGCCACCCGACACAGTTGTAAAGCCTTCCTCTTCTATTCTCTGTCCTTTCCAATGTATATTTCCATCATAAACTCCCGCAATTCTTCAGACGCTTCAGACACTTCTCTTCTATCAAGACGTATTTCGCGCAGCAATTTGGAATAGTACATGTTAAGCAAGAAAGCTTCAAAATTCGTCTCTTCCAGCCAGCATTCATAGTTGGGCAGGAAGCGTGTCTCTGGCTTCTCACATGGTGGGCCATAGAAACGGCTGCCCCGGACTCTAGGGGGCTTAATCTGAGTGAGCACACAATAGTGTCCATCCTTTCCTGGCTCAAGATACAACCCTGTTCGAGACCTCTGTTCACGGTTGTCATAGTAGAAGGGCAGGAAATAACCCCCCTGGTCCTCCACCAGCAGCGGTTCCTCGAGGATAAACCCCATCAGGTTACCACTATTATGAGTATATATTCGCTTCATCAGCTCTGGATCACGGATGAACCGGAGGAAGATTGGTGGGATGGTAATTCCGACGAGCTCTGCAGCCTCGAGAAGATCATCGTAGGTTGTGTCCTCAGTGGGCGGCTCGTGCTCAAACATGCGTTCCATCCGTGTACTCATCACCGCATTGAGAGGTTTCAGCCAATTCAGGTCCCCACGAAGGACAATAGTGTCCAAGGCATCGGCGATCTCTAGCTGGCTGCGGATGGCGGTGCCTCGGGAAAGACGAAGAGCCCGGCGACAATTTTGGGTACGGAGAAGGGCCATAGTGTCGTCAGTGGCGATATTGGAGATCATTCCAAACCGTGCCATGAAACGAGCTTTTTCCCTCCGTTTTTTGAGGACTGGCTCGAGGATGGGGAGGCAAAGGTCGGTGAAGGAGTGCGTGAAGGTTTTGGCAAGCCGCTCAATGGTCAGAATGTGCAGATAGGAAAGGATATGGAGGAGGACCTCCATCGGGAGGTCTTTAACCTTAGCCATAATGGATCCTGAGTGAAGGCTTATCGGATTTGGATTGAATTTTGAAATTTCGCTTTTGCCTTGTGGACTGGCGCTGCTCGGTGGGAGAAAGGAAAGAGAAGAGGAAGGAAAGGGGAAGAGATTTATCAGGTGAGACGACGTACGGCTGAAGCCCGACGGCTGCAACATTACGTCAACAACTGAGACATTCATGCGTTTCCCCTCATTCCTTTGTGCATTTGTGCATTTATGCATTTCTAACATGTTCTAAATACTGGCCTTAAAAGAATTCGTACTAAGAATAGGCAGCAAGCTTTACTGGCAAAGCTGTTATACCAAGTTTACGAACCTCGTTGAAAGTCACACAAGTGCTTGTTATAGGGTAGGCAGAATTTCTTCACTGAGGCGGCAGAAATGCCTCACCCACGGGTCCATTGTCAATCATCAACTTTTACTCAGCATCATCAGTCGTCTCCAGCCCCCTTGATCGCGTTTTATGGATGTCGGTGTGCTTCGCTCGCCCTAATGATATCATCGGTAGCACGTAAACAGCAATCCTTACTTTAGCGCGGGCAGAGGTGTAGAGGCTACTGAAGCGAATCTCCCGCAGCGCGTTTCCGCGCGTCCACGTGTTCGCCAATATCTTGCCCCTTCGCTCTTATTGGATTCTTTTGAATCCTCATGGGGCGGCATATACGAGCAGAGCCCTTTTGCTCTCTCTGTCGCTGTTCACTCCCTATAGGTAAAATCTGTCAAAGATTGGGCGGCCAGGAGCTGGAGACAGACGAACATAATGATTGGGCATTTCAATTTATCTGTGGTAAGCAGGGATCCAAACCACCCCGAATCTATGTCATATAATTTGAGTGATTGAGTTGTGCTGCCAGGCTTTGAATCACGGCCTCGGCACTTGGAGTTGTCTCGTATGATCACTGTCCAAACAGACCTTCGAAGACCAGCCTGGAAACCTATACTTGAGTTGCAATGTGCCAGCTTGCTCGGGCCGGTCGAGAATGCCCAGGTTTACATTTGTTTCGATTTCATGATCTGCACGAGTTGTGATCTTCTGGATACTTTGCACTTCACACATGCCCAGTGCCTAGAGCTCGCACATACCCTACCCGGGTATTCCAAAAGCTGCCTTCGGCGGCTCATACAGCGCACCCGTCCCCTCATGTCCTGGTACTTATCAAGGCCACTCAATAGCACCCGTTCTCGTCCAAGTATTCCGTCTGAACTATCAACATCAGGTACAACAGAATTAGGACAGTTGGTGGAAACAATAAGAAAAACGTTACCCGTGGAGTTACAAGGGCTCGTTTACAGAAACGTCTCGGGCCTTTTTCATTTTCTTGCCGGGGCCTCTCTTACATTGAATGAGCTGGAAGGAGAGGCTGGGCCGGATAGAGGAGTCGTTATCCACCCAATCCCTTTTCATTTCGTGAAATCTCTTCGTGCTAACTCTACAATTATCCTTGGTGAAGAATGCTTGACGAATATTGGGTCGGATAACGCCTCGAATTTCGAACAAGAGATTGTTCTGCAGGATAAAGCTGTATATGGGATACAAGTCTCCCTCGGAACTTATGGAGTCGTTGCTCTTCGAGTCCTCTATCAGGATAATTCCACGTCAGCTTGGCTGGGCTTTGGACTCAGGAGATGGACCGCGACGTATAAGGGTGATGATCTCACTAAACTTCACACCGTATCTGATGTGAGTCCACGGTTTATTTGGGGAATTGAATTATGCTGATGGGTGTAGGGATTCAAACTGATAAGCGTTGGGTTTACCGATGGGGAACCTTCGAAACCACCCACTAACTTGGCTCACTTGTTTTTCGACCACGAAATGGTCTTGCCTCCTGGAGCCAAGTATTTTCTTGCAGATATGAAGATTCCAGGTGCTGAGATCCTCGGCAACCCCAACGGACGCCTGGCACAATACCTTGATTTATCCCTCATCGAGATCCAAAGCCTAACTGTGGTTTGCAACATCGAAGCCATTTACAAAATCCAAATAAACGGGGGTGGTCCCAAATTGGAGCTGGGCGATCGTGTAGCAATTAAACCATCGGCTAGGGACGAAGAGAACTTCTCAATTACCCGGTTCTTTCAGCCGGGTGAACGAATGACGTCGATTCAGTTGATAACCAGGGGGCCTGAGCGACCAATGGTCTGGAAAGGCCCTTTCCTTCTTGTAAGTCAAGCCGTTTCGAGATATCTGGGCAGTTGTGCCTAACAACAATAGGTTCGGACTTCGAAATCACGGACTTGGTATTTCGGCACATTTATGCTGCCCTTTTTACAGCCTCTCCATATCTCATCATTCGAATCCGAGGGGACTCGAGAAATCATGGGGCTCTTCATCGATCCAACCAACGTCAACCCGGGGAAAATCAACACCCTTGGCGTCTGTTTAGGGAGTCCACTCCTCGGTTTAGAACAGGCTGGGCTCCGTGTTCCAAGGTCTCGTAGCGATTCTGAGCCTTTAATGTTTCCCAGTGTATATCCTTTTGCTGCATTTCTCAGTAGAGCCACGCTGCTAAATGTCATCGCGCTCAAGGTTCAGAAGTTTGGAGACCGCTGCGTAGGGATGTGCGTGGAGCGAGAGGGCGGAATCATTGAGACTCTTGGAATGTGGGATCCTGTCCGTCTGGATACCATTTCTACCATCTACAGCTACCGCCAAGGTCCCCTCCAACCTCTAACTTTTATTTTCTCAGCAGCGCCTGAACTTTTGAAACGATACGTTGAGGACATTGTCGTTTCCGCACCACCAGATCTTGAGCCCGGCAGACCAAGATTCACTTGGAGCAGCTTCGGCTCGGTAAGCTAACCCCAAGGCGTATATGTAGATGGCTACTGACGGTCTATTAGCAACTGGCGTGGTGGTTTACGCCCAGATACACTTTCCTTGAGGATTGGCAGGGAGAGGAGAGCGACATTCTGGAGACGGTCGCACCGAATATCCCGTGTGTCTATGGCCGGTAATTGGCTCTCATATGTATCTCAACTCTGCACGTCATAGCATGCGCTTATTAGATAGTACGTATTTTGATATATGTTGCTTCCTAATGAACCAGCATGTTTCCTTCGATTGAGATTCCCACTTCACTGTGACAGATCTAATAAGATGGGCTACAAACCGCTAAATTCAGGAGTCCTCGTCTTCGAGGGCATCCCGGTATTTATTTCTCTATGGCCCACCAAAATATATTGACTCGCAATGCACGTTTCAGGGGGCCAAAGGAACAAAAGTCGAACCACGGCTCATTATTTGGACACTTGTTCAATTCCGTTATTGTGCTACGATCCAGATCGGTTCGCAGCGAACGACGAGGGTGCGGCGAAGTACCGAATTGAACTCCCACCGAAAGGCAATATTCCCAATATCCACTATCAAGCAGCCTTGGCTTACATCCTTGTCATCCGTCCACCAACATTTTTGGCCTCCCAATATTAACAAAGAATGACTGATTCAGGATCCCTGTCGCGGAAACAAGAATCAGGGCGGAATATTCCGCTAGCTTCGATAATTTGGCTGCCTAATCCTTAAAAAGCCCTTGTCTCTCCTGGTCGGAACGCGCCCGCCATGAGGTCACGTAAGATGCTGGCGGCAAAAGAAGATCCTCGCGGCTATCGTCTACGTCTCACGGTGTTAAGCGACATCATGGTGCCGGCTTACGATCAGTGCAGCCTTGCTCCTCGTCTGACAGGCGCCTAGCCAGCAAGTGCTTACAGGCTGTGGAGGCGTGGCGCGCGGTAGAGGCCCCCAACTCCGTTGGCCTAGCCCTGCCAATCTATGTGAAGCAAGGCAGTCTGTTTAATTCTTCAACGAAGAAATAACTAGGCTGCCCTGCTAGAGTTCCGGGGGCTGCTTGCCGGATGCAAAGCTACCCGGACAGATTGGTGGAAAGCCACCCCCATTATTATATATTAATGATTGACTAACTTATTTTGGTGAAATGTGCGACAGAGTTGCCTATCTGGTTGAGTTTTTCTCTGACGAGAAGGCCCCTGTATGTACATAAGTGCCGGTCTCGTCTTTCTCGCGCTTACGTTAACTTGACGAGCCGCGTCTGGAATCATCATCAATCAGTATGACGGTGTCATAGAGAGCATTGGGCAGTTCGTGATTATTATTTCATGCATGTTCTTTTTCCTCACTTCCACTAATATCAGTCTTCCCCCATACTTCATCGCAGCCTTCTCTGAAATTATCGTTGCCAACAACAGCCTCCCTTCGCCAGTGCGGAGATTTCGTTCTAGCCTATACCTACCAGTTGTTGATTGTGGGATATCTGAAATCTCGGCATAAAGGAAGAGACAACAGGGATAATAAACAAGGAAACACTAAGCGTGCAGCTTCGAGAAAAGCTTCCGCCAATGTCTAGCAAGAGGATCTTGGATCGGCCCGCCGTTGGCATTTTCCCGCGGTTTCCAGATCTTCCTGTCGAGATCCAAAGCTTAATATGGAAGCTCGCCATGGCCGAATCTAGCCTCCTATGGGCTAACTGGCCCGGCCATGAGATGTCCCTTCTTGCACCCATCTGCCCGATACCAAAGCTCGGCGCAAAGGACCCTGTCGGCCTAATTCCTTACAATCTTCCAGCTGGGGTGCCCGGTACCTTGGATAGCCACCCCCCTCCCAGTGGGCTGGCGGCGGGGACCGTAGATTCTGGTTATGACACAAGTTTGAGAATCATGAGCATGACACAGAGGTCACATTTCACTCGCACTGGTGACTCTTGGACGAGTTCATTGAGAAAGATGATGATACAACCAGATGAGCCATCATCCAATGCCATCGGCGACCACGCGGCGTTGACTCTCCTCTCTGTGTGCCACTTGAGTCGTCAAGTTGTGCTGGCACGTCGGGCTACCGTCAGGACGAAACAGCAAGCCCCGGCAAAGCTATCAGCCACCCTCGGCGATGTTCCCCTCTTCTACCCATCCTTTAAGGGTGGATCACTCAGCGGGAATATCTTCAAAGATCAGCATAGCGGACGAAGCTGTTTCGTTTTCGTTCTGGGTTCCGATCCGTCAAAGCCTTTGTTGGAAAAGCCACCTCTCGGAAAGGTCAAAAACGCACACCGGTACAGTCATGTTGCCGCAAGATTGGGGGATATTGAAAAGTGTGTACTTGGAAGTCGGCTAAGCTTCACACAAATTCCGGATGGCTTGGATCGAGATCGGTTCAAGGATGCTGAAGACACAATGTGGTGGAGACCGGATCTGGGTTCCCGTGTGCGACGGCCGGAGGCGGGACATCCGTTTTACATTACCCCGGGGACGATCCTCGCTCTTTACTCTGCAATATTGCATCAGCTGGCGAGTCTCCAAGCCACAACATGCATAGGGGGGCACGCTCGAAACGACTGGTCTGTACGCCCCCATGGACAGTGGTACTTCAGCCTTCTCGAGGAGGGAAAATGTACTCACTGCTCTCAAGACTTGTTATTGCCGTTTTGCGAGAGTTATCCTGAGCTCGTCGATGTTGAGGGCCACATTGATGTGATGGTACTGCTGAATCGACATCGGTTCGAGCAGCCTGAGTATACGCAGTCAGTGCGATCTCATGAAATCGGAGAATGAACCATGGTTTCATGTTAGCTCGGGAGTTTGGACACGTCTCGAGAGGAGACTTATGCAAGCCAATCACGTCGATGTACGGCAACCAGTAGACAGCACTAATTATAAATGAATATCGCGTAAATTTCGTCAGTCTGTGTCATATGCTAAACCTAATAATATCATGCTTCCGCACATGCAAACCACCATTCAGCTGGATTGCTCATGGGGTCTACTGTATGCTGTCTGGAAGATCGCCTACCGCACTACTTGTAAAGATTTTGATTAGACGGGGAGAACAACCTTTACTCCCATGTACTCTCGCTGATGCATCACCTTGCCATCAATAATAGCCTGATGGACACCCACACGGTTGCGGCTGCTGTCGGTAGGGTCTGCGCAAGTCGCAATCTGAATCTCACGCCACTCCTTGTTGGTGGGCACCTTGCCGACCTTATCCATGCGCTTCTTGAATTCTCGGTAGACGCCCTGCTCATCGACACAACCTTCTCGCTGAATGAGAGGAGACTCTGCAAAATAGATTACTTAGTAGGTAGCTTCAAAGACCCTGGGGATGGATTTACTTACCCTTAGCAGGACCCATTTGGAGGTCACCGACAGAACTGTTGAACAAAACCAACGACAAACGTTCCAAGTGGAGCTGGTCAGCAGGAGGCTTGAAGACTCTGTGAAGAGTGGCCTTGAAGTGTCCTCCGGAAACGATCTCGAGTGTGTCCCCGATGTTGATGACCAACGCACCCGGTCTGTATGGAACATAATACCACTGCTCATCCTTCCCCCAGATCTGAAGACAGGATACAGGCACAGAAAACAATTGAGTGGTCAGACCGAAATCGGAGTGGGCAAGCACTTAAGTGAGGGTTCTATGTTAGTTTTACATCGCCTTCGAAAGTTGCGGATGACAGGGTGGCTCACTATGACACAACTTGGTTAGCATCATTACAACATCCAAAAAAAAAGGGGGGGATCAACTCACCTTCGGTTTCCTTTGGATGATTCCTCTGTCTCTTTCTTCACAGGGCGGAAAAGAGCGTGACGGAAATATCCTTCGCCAGTAGGGCTGCCATGAGACTGCACATTGTTCCAGAGGTAGTCGTCTGGAAGCTCGAGAACGCGGGAAAAGAGCGTCAGAAGTCTACGGTTGACAGATTTTGTGAGGTAGTTGGCAAACGACTCGATTTCGTCCATGAATGGCAGAAGACAAGTGGGAACGCGCTCGCTTAGGTTGTCCCAGTCGGACTTGTACCAGTTGAACTGCTGGATACCATCGGCAGGGCCCTTTGCGCGCTGGATTTAAAAGGCCAAGTCAGCGGGGAAATTTAGGAGTGTGGTTAAGGATTATGCGGTACCTTGAATCCGTATGGGTGCTTGTAGCCAGACCATTTGCCAGTCTCGGGGCTGAAGAGAAGACGCTCCTTGTCTTCCTCACTGATGTTGTTGTACAAGTACTGGGCAATGGCAAACTGTCGGTGAAGCTGTGAGGCAAGGGGAAGTTAGAAAGACGAATCCAGTGCGTTGTTTTTGGTGTCGACGAACCTGCTCCAACGAGATGCCGTAGTTTTCAAGGAAAAGGAAGCCATCCTCGCGGATCGCTCTCTTGACTTGCTTGATAAGATCGTCAACGACAGCGGGGTCATCAGAGTCGAGGAGGGAAAGGTCAATGGAGGTAAGTTCAGCAAAGTTCTCCTTTTGCTGGGTGACAGGAGGAGGGACCCATTCAGGTACCTGGGGCTTGCCAGGGAGGTCAGCAGCCGGGGGGTTAAAGGGGGCGCTGGGTGCCATAGTGTTAAGGAAGATCAGATAGAGAAGTGATTGAGAGTAGTTTTAGTGTTGGGGATGGGCCGTTGATAGGCTTGGAATCATCTGAATGGTTGTGAGTGAAGCTAGTTCGGTGCTTCATGGAGGCCAAACAGCCCTTTTATCTAGGTGCCCTACGTCAGGTGCGCAACTAATGGAAGAGTAGTGCAACGTACGTTCCTCAGTAGTTACCAGAGCTGGCTCCTCTAAGCGGGCTCCGTCTCCATAGTGCGGAAGCCAGTGTTGGCCGAGAAAGGCAAGCTCTAGATTCATTCCCAAGAGCTCAATCTCCTCCGATCGCCACCTGCTCTCCTGGACCCATAAGTGTCATTGCTTTTGCCAAGTCTTCTCTTTGGGGTGGGCTCTTCTCCCCACACTCGTTCGGCAAGGGGCATCCAATTACGTTGGTTATCCCAAACCTTCGGTCTCGCCCCTTGCCACGAGATAAGAGCTCACCCCAACTAATTCGTATCATGACACGTCAGTCTGATCTTGATCCTCGATTGTCCGCGTTATCGATCCATCTGGGGTAATTAGCAGACATCCACCGGCCTGCCCGGTGTGGAGACAGATGGGAGGAGCTCCTCCGTCCACCCACCCGCACCATGGAAACGTGCTCCCGATAAGCTAGGGAGCACCCGTTTCGAGTCATGAAGCATGAAGGCCCCTGTGGAGACAGGGCGGCAACCTGGCACGGGGGAGCTCCTCCCACTCCTCCCCAGCTCACGCGAAAAGCTCACCGGCCCTCGGCATCTTAAAAGGCTACAACGATAGTAATTATTTGCCAGGGGTCATCTCACTATCAAGCACATCTCAGCTAACTCTTGTGTCTTTGCACGAAACAAAACAATAAACTCACACCACCACACCACCGGAATTCAACCCACCCCAATCAGCAACCATGTCTCGCGAACTCATCTCCAGTGCAAAGTTCCCTCCCAAGCCTCACAACTGTATGTTCCCTTTTCTCCGGTTCTCGAGGAGCCAAGATCTGGCGAGGAGAAGCTATCCTCGAAGACATAACTTTTTCTGACTTCTTCACAAAGGCCCTGCTACTAAGGTTCCTGGTCTTGTCTTCCTCGCCGGTCAGACGGCTACCGGAGAGATCAAGCAGGCTACTGTAGGTGTCATTCCCCCTTGAGCTGAGATTCTAGATGACTAACGCTTTTTTTATTGAATAGAGAACCGTCCTGCAGAACCTCAAGGAAGTTCTCGAGCTCTCAGGATCTTCTCTCGAACAGGTCGTCAAGTACAATGTTTACCTTGCCGACATGAAGGACTTTGCTGCTATGAACGAGGTTTACATTGAATTCCTACCCAAGCCCATGCCTTCGCGCTCTTGCCTCCAGGCTCTTCCCCCTGGCGATGGTACTGTTATTGAGATTGAGTGCATTGCCCAGGTATAAATGCGGGCCGTGGTTCCAGGACATGGACTAGTCAAATATAAATTATAAATAGAATAAATGCAATAAGGAATCCTGAATGTGCGGTGCTCAGGTGCTATTCTCTTTCCGTTCCCCTCCTTTACTCCGGATGCGACTATTGTAATAGCTTATCTTGGCGTTCGTCAAGCACAGCCCTCTATGAACAAATAATACTCTTCTATACACCCCCTTGGTGAGATTCCGGGGCGTGTGACGTTTACAATAGTCTGACCCTAGCTTTCGTGAAGCACAGTCCTCTGATATGATAATCTCCCTTTTAGCAGGTGAGTATGCTCATGGCAGGAGTGTATGGAAGGGCGTGAGTGCAGCACAGACACTCTCAGTCAATCCAATATTCATTTGCTTGAGAACCCGGCAGGCCAAGTGATAAGTTAATGAATAAGAGGGTTAATCATGCAGACTGGTCGGACCTACAAATGTTTGACTTTCCTTGATTCATTCCTAAGCGGATATGATGAACGCATAACCTGGTATCAGAGGCGTGTACTCAAGGTACATGTACCAGGAACACACGTAATGCACACTCCTTTAGCTTCAAGGTGCTTCACGAACCAGTAAGGATGTCATCACTGGGAAAGAATCAGGCCATAAATGATCAGCGGGTCGGTAACATTGAGGTGTAGAGAGAAGTAAAAGATAAAAGTCTCCACACGTATCCTCCAGCGCGTAAAGAATATTGTGATCCTACTCGTCTATAAATCTAAGTGGCGCCATGCAATTTCAAAGATCTTCCACCGTCCCCTTTCTTCATTCACTTATGACCTCGCAATCTCAAACTCAGATATGTACCAGTTCTGAATGGCCTTAGTGTCTCCAGTGATGGCCACGGTATCGTATCTTGGGCGCTCCTCCTTTGCCACCGTGCCGTTGTTCACCATACGCCCAGCCCACTTGCCATGCTTCCTCGCCGCAGCGATGATCTTATCAACAGCAGCGATGAATTCTGGCTCGTCTCCACGTGCGGGCGTGTATCCCAAGAGAGACTGAGCCAGATCGTTGGGTCCGATGAAGACTAAATCTACGCCGGGAGTCGCGGCGATAGCGTCCACGTTCTCGACGCCCTCGCGGGTCTCGATCTGGATCATAGTGAGGATGGTCTCGTTTGCCGACTTCATGTACTCGGGTGTGGTCAGGCCATGCCCGATAGCTGGGAAGGCTGAACCCTGTCCACGCACACCCTGTGGGGGGAACTTGGAGGAAGCCACAATCTGGGCGGCTTCTTGAGCATTGTTGATTTGTGGGACCATGATGCCGTGGGCACCGGTATCAAGGGCGCGCTTGATGATATCGTGGGCAGGTCCGCGGATACGGATGATGGGCGAGACGCCGAGGGAAGAGATGGCGGCGACTGAGTTGTGCATGGAGTCGTCGCCAATGTGACCGTGCTCGGCATCGATAATGATGCCGTCAAGACCAGTCAGGGCGACAATTTGAGCCTGACGCACTGACGGGATGGCCACAAAGGTCATCAGGGGGTACTCCCCTGATCTGAGCTTATTCAGAAGCCTCAGACGAGGGTTCTGGACTTGCGTGTTGTGGGCAGTTGGGAAGCTCATTTTGGCAATGTATGTTCTGTTTTGGAGGATTACGTTTCTTAGACGATGACTATGAAGCCAAGCCAGGGTGGCGGATGATAAGAAAGGGTAGACTTGATGTATGTGCAGTTTGTCTTTCGATATTTCAAACGAACCCCTTGCTGATGGCGGGTTTTATGCGCCAAACTCGAGCTACTTTTCCCCAGATGGAGCTACCATTTTGGGGAGCTCTTCGGGATATTCAAGGAGAGCACCCTCGGGTTGCACTGCGGCTGAATCAATGATGCTAAGTGGTTAGTTGTGAGGCTAAGACCGGGGCCAGATCTGAGTGTCTCCACCGGGAGGAGCTCCCCCGTGTCAGTCTAATCACGAACAGGCACCGCCAAATCACCAAGGCGAGAGCTCCTCCGATTAGATAAGAGGCCCACCGCTTGTGTCGGGTCTTGGCTGTGTCAGGGTCTCTATCATGCATGCAAGTGGGTGGCGTCGGCCTTGTCCAGGCTTTCTGATATGCAGTCTTTAGACCGAGTACCTGGTGTTTGAAGACAATAACAGCCACAATAACAGTGGAAGACAAGATAACAAACTACCCTATCAACTATTTTGAAGACATTTCAATGCGTATTGTGTTAATTCTCTTGGATATTATGCCAAAAAGACAGTAGAGTCGAGTCAACGGCATCGGTGAGCCGCAATTTATGTCGCCGCTAATCTTCTGTGGGGACCCCAGATTATGCAGGCGACGAGTAGGACTCTTCGGCTACCGGGCTACGTACCTAATACCGCTGCTGAGTCTAGTACATATTCGAACGGGCTAATCTGGAGTTTCCTATCAAAGCGGATACCACGCGTGCTCTCCACCCACCCTGTCCGGGCAATCCTTGGCCCCGAACCAAGTTTGACTCGAACAAGGCTTCTAGCCTGTCTATACTCTCCAGCAATATCATTTGTAAAATGGTTCCATTCATTCGTGCGCCAACTGATCGCCTGGAGTAGGAAGGTCACCGTTATCTGCTCCCTTGCACAACTTAAATACTCAGTCTCCGTCCGTCCAAGACAGGATTTTCACTCACCAGATTCAGAGCCAAAAAAGAATTCTCAACCTTCGACTTCCAACAAGGCGAGACAAGACATTATCCCATATCCCCTCCTCCCCTCACAAAGATGACTTCCCAAAAGGGGGACGACGACGGCAAGAAGAGCATTGCTCTCTCCCAGACTGACGGCGAGGTCGCTGATGTGACTTATGACCGGATGCCGGAATCTCTTCGCCAGTTCAGCGGTGACGAGCTGAAGAACCTCGAGAAGAAGCTTGTCCGTAAGATTGACCTGGTCATTCTTCCCATCGTTGGAATTCTCTACATTCTGAACTATATCGACCGTCAGAACCTTGCTGCTGCCAAGTTGCACGGTATCACAGACGATCTTCACATGACGACGGAACAGTTTGCCACTGCTATTTCTATCTTATTCGTCGGATATCTTCCCTTTCAGATTCCTAGCAACCTCATCATCACAAAGCTGTCCCGGCCCGGCTTATACATTTGCTGCGCCGTGGTGCTTTGGGGCAGTATCTCAGCAGCAACTGCAGCTGTGAACACTTATTCGCAGTTGCTTGGCGTTCGTGCTATTCTCGGTGTTGCCGAAGCTGTCTTCTTCCCAGGTGCTATCTACTACCTCTCTGCGTGGTACACCAAGACCGAGCTTGGCAAGCGAATTGCTAGTCTCTATATTGCGCAGCAAGTCGGTAACGCATTTGGCGGTCTTCTCGCCGCTGCTATCCTCCAGTTGGATGGCCGTCACGGAATCCGTGGCTGGAGGTGGCTGTTCATCATTGAAGGTGTGGCCACAGTCGGAATCGGTCTGATTTGCGGCTTCTTCATGCCCGAGTTTCCTCACAACAGCCGTATCCTTACCCAGATGGAACGCGATTTGGCAGTTTGGCGTATTGAGTCCGGAGCCGGTGCAGCAGAGGGTACGGAGAAGGAAAGCGTTCTTAAGAGTT